CACAATTATAGACTATAATGGACTTATCCCAATATATGCATGGTAGAGTCCACTAAAGTTACCTAGGGGTGAAAGGTTAAAATATAATTGTGGACTGGTGGAATAGGATAATTACCTCCCTTTGTATTGATTGGGTTCCTTGCTGCACCTAATTACATGTATTATGGAATCAAATAAATCTTGTAGAGATCGAGTCTAAAAACTGTTGCCTGTACATGTTTCCACTCCATGATACTATACTGAATGAGGTGGAGTCGGGGTATTTACATCTGTATGATTATCTATGATATATCTACAAGGCATGATACATGTATAAAGGGTTCCAGGCTAACAGTAATTAAAAAAAGAATCTGTTGAATTATACATCATTACACTTAATGTTTGTTGATCACTTATATATATGTTATGATTGTGATAATAAAAATCATTATGGTAACAAATGTTTGAAAGTTTTCTTTTTTAAGGGAAATTAAATATGAACCTGTTGATACAAAAAGTTCTGAATGGAACACGTTATGATCATCATCCACACGAAATTGAATTATTGATTCAACTACCCTTTATTAATTACTTACTTTATTTTCTTATACAGTGCTTGTAACTTTAAAAGCAATATGGACAAAATCACCGTTTTCTTTCAGTATGAAACGTACAGAACAAAACTGAAAAAAATTATGTCATTTGCATTGGATGGATGAATAAACATAAAAAAAAAAAAAAATAGAACTGTTTATGTGGTATACAAATAAAATAGAACGATCATTATGGTATACAGGTAATATAGAACGATCATTATGGTATACAGGTAATATAGAATTGCCATTATGGTATACAGGTAATATAGAACTGTCATTATGGTATACATGTAATATAGAACTGTCATAATGTTATACAGGTAATATAGAACTGTCATTATGGTATACAGGTAATATAGAACGATCATTATTGTATACAGGTAATATAGAACGATCATTATGGTATACAGGTAATATAGAACTGTCATTATGGTATACAGGTAATATAGAACTGTCATTATCGTATACATGTAATATAGAACAATCATGATGGTAAACACGTAATATAGAACTGTCATTATCGTATACATGTAATATAGAACGATCATGATGGTAAACAGGTAATATAGAACTGTCATTATGGTAAACAGGTAATATAGAACTCATTATCGTATGCATGTAATATAGAACTGTAATTATGGTATACAGGTAATATAAAACGATCATGATGGTAAACAGGTAATATAGAACTGTCATTATGGTATACAGGTAATATAGAACTGTCATTATCGTATGCATGTAATATAGAACTGTAATTATGGTATACAGGAAATATAGAACTGTCATTATGGTATACATGTAATATAGAACTGTAATTATGGTATACAGGTAATATAGAACGATCATGATGGTAAACAGGTAATATAGAACTGTTATTATGGTATACAGGTAATATAGAACGATCATGATGGTATACAGGTAATATAGAACTGTCATCATGGTATACAGGTAAAATTGAACTGTCATTATGGTATACAGGTAATAAAGAACGAGCATTATTGTATACAGGTAATATAGAACGACCATAATGGTATCCAGGTAACATAAAACGATCATGATGGTATACAGGTAATATAGAACTGTCATTATGGTATACAGGTTATACAGAACGATCATGACGGTATAAATGTAATATAGAACGATCATTATGGTATACTGGTAATATACAACTGTCATTATGGTATACAGGTTATATACAACTGTCATTATGGTATACAGGTAATATAGAACTGTCATAATGGTATACAGATAATACAGAACGATCATGATGGTATACAGGTAATACAGAACAATCATGATGGTATACAGGTAATATAGAACTGTCATTATGGTATACAGGTAATATAGAACTGTCATTATGGTATACAGGTAATATAGAACGATCATTATAGTATCAAGGTAATATAGAACGATCATGATGGTATACAGGTAACATAGAACTGTCATTATGGTATACAGGTAAAATTGAACGATCATGATGGTATACAGGTAATATAGAACTGTCATTATGGTATACATGTAATACAGAACGATCATGATGGTATACAGGTAATGTAGAACGACCATAATAATATCCAGGTAACATAGAACGATCATAATGGTATAAAGGTAATATAGAACGATCATGATGGTATAAAGGTAATATAGAACGATCATGATGGTATCCAGGTAACATAGAACGATCATTATGGTATACAGGTAATATAGAACTGTCATTATGGTATACAGGTAATATAGAACTGTCATTATCGTATACATGTAATATATAACGATCATGATGGTAAACAGGTAATATAGAACTGTCATTATGGTATACATGTAATATAGAACTGTCATAATGTTATACAGGTAATATAGAACTGTCATTATGGTATACAGGTAATATAGAACGATCATTATGGTATACAGGTAATACAGAACGATCATGATGGTAAACAGGCCTTCATCAAAAATCATGCGCTCATCCAGGTAACATAGAACGATCATAATGGTATAAAAGGTAATATAGAACGATCATGATGGTATAAAGGTAATATAGAACGATCATGATGGTATCCAGGTAACATAGAACGATCATTAAGGTATACAGGTAATATAGAACTGTCATTATGGTATACAGGTATTATAGATCTGTCATTCTGGTATTCAGGTAATATACAACTATCAGTATGGTATACAGGTAATATAAAATGTCATTATGGTATACATGTAATAAAGAACTGTCATTATGGTATACAGGTAATATACAACTGTCATTATGGTATACAGGTAATATAAAATGTCATTATGGTATTCATGTATCATAGAACTGTCATTCTGGTATACAGGTATCATAGAACTGTCATTCTGGTATACAGGTAATATAGATTTGTCATTCTGGTATACAGGTAATATACAACTATCAGTACGGTATACAGGTAATATAAAATGTCATTAAGTTATACAGGTATTATAGTTCTGTCATTCTGGTATACAGGTAATATACAACTATCAGTACGGTATACAGGTAATATAAAATGTCATTCTGGTATACTGGTAATATAGAACTATCATTGTGATCTTTATCAATGCAGATGTCCTCAGTAGTGACGATTGATTCACAGGGTCATGTAACAATACCAATATACTTTTGTAAGGAGAAACGAATCGTATAACATGCCTCTGGGGTTTACATTGGTTATCGTAGTGAGACTCAGTTTATTATCCATATCATAGTACTCATATACCTAATCACCCACTCTGACTGGCCCAAGTTTTACAATAAAGTATTCATGAACTAAAGAGAATTCCTTAAATAATGTTTTTCCTTGAAAAAAAAAGGATTACTGAAGATAAAGATAATTTCCATAACATGCTTGCGTAACTTAAATCAGACTCAACTATGAACACCTTTGAGAACTTAGTGAAATACTCATATTTCTGACGTCATCAGATAATACGCCCGCGTTATTGCATTATGTTTCGAAATATACGGAAGAAAGTCAATGTCTGAAAGAATAGACCAATTAGAGCGCAGTAAGGTCTTAGGTATTGAGTTACGTCTAAAAATACTGCAATGTTTAAAGAACTTATTGTGCGGAAATGGGTTTCGGGAGATACTACGTCCAGTATTTGTTTATCGTCAGGGGCGTACGCATTTTTGGCCATATTCTGATGAAACACAAATATTCCGGTTTTCGTGATTCATCATATTTCATATACACACTCATTTACGAGCGTGTCTCATAACATTTCGTTTCCAGATTTGGAGATAAAAAGTAACTAACTCTACTTTAAGGCACCATTCATCATTGTCTAGAATATATTTGCAAGTGAAGTATATTCAGTATGCCTCTCGTTGAACGATTGCTGTCTGGTCATTCTGCCGGTTATATTGAAACAATGGATTTGTATAACTTGACAATAGGGGTTTCATCATTAAATGATTGATGAGCAAAATATGCCAGTGTTAGTATATACTAGCGTGACATCACTTCCTTTTTGCGATAGATATTTGCTGTATCTGAAGGATAATGAAACTCTTCCTTAAAAAATACTCGAAAAATACTTCTCCAGACTCCGAGGTATTAGTCATTTTCTCTGCATGTTTAATTTGTAAATTTCAGGACACCCCTGAGCTATCCGTTCTCCCTAAGGGAGGGGGTAAAGTTTACTATAGTGTATATAGGGAAACAACACTTTTGGGTATATTTTGACAATTTTCTGTAGGAAATTATTATTACTTGGTGAGAATTATTCTTGGAGAAAGATGGTTTTAAATGTAAAATTGGGATTCCTAGCCCAACCCTAGGGGCCAGGGCGGGGCCCCAAAGGGAAAATTAACCAATATTTCAAAAATCTTCTTCTCCAGACTCAGAGATACTACAGTCATTTTCTCTGCATGGATGCAAAGATCATCAGGGGCTTTATTTAAATTGTAAATTTCAGGACCCCCGAGCTATCCGTTCTCCCTTGGGGAAGGGGTAAAGTTTACTATAGTTTATATAGGGAAACAACACTAAATTATTATTACTTGGTCAGAATCATCTTTGGTGGATGACGGTATTACATTGTAAAATTGGAATCCTGGCTCATCCCCAGGGGTTAGGGCGGGGCCCCAAAGGGACCATTTACCAATATTTTCAAATTCTTATCCTCTGATGACATGACAAGTATTGTGTTTCACTTAGTTTACATGCTGATTTCCACATCACATCTAAACAATAAAATAACGCTACCAGTACCTATGATATAACTCAGGTGACCGCTAAGGCCCTTGGGCCTCTTGTTTAAAACAATCCCAAAGAATGTAATGAAAGGATTTTAAACGTAGTAAGAGTTGCTATATGATCTACAAATAAATCGTGACCGGACTTTAGTCGTTGAGTGCTACTTCCCTGAATAACTGTTTCCGCAGTATTTTCCATTTGGTCTATATATGTTTTTAAGTGTGATACAATTTAACTGTTTGTCGTAACATATAGCTCATCCAGGACGGTAAATACTCAATCAATATGGCGTCAGCTGAGAGGCCGGCTTGTTCACCGTATGACATATACATCGAAAATATCGACACATCGAAAATCTTAATCGCAAAGGTACGTACACACCTGTGATGTAGACACCATCAGAATAAACACTTTGACCATTTAACGTGCAGTCGTAGTGACCAAGGTATATATATATCTGTGTACGTATATATCTGTGATATAGACTCATCGAGTCTTACTACATGTACGTATACAGTGTACCCGTGATATAGACTCATCGAATGTCTTCTGTTTATCAGTCGTACTACATGTACGTATATAGTGTACTCGTGATGTAGACTCATCGAATGTCTTCTGTTTATCAGTCTTACTACATGTACGTATATAGTGTACCCGTGATATAGACTCATCGAATGGCTTCTGTTTATCAGTCTTACTACATGTACGTATATAGTGTACTCGTTATATAGACTCATCGAATGTCTTCTGTTTATCGGTCTTACTTCATGTACGTATATAGTGTACTCGTGCTTTAGACTCATCGAAAGTCTTCTGTTTATCAGTATTACTACATGTACGTATATAGTGTACCCGTGATGTAGACTCATCGAATGTCTTCTGTTTATCAGTCTTGCTACATGTACGTATATAGTGTACCCGTGATATAGACTCATCGAAGGTCTTCTGTTTATCAGTCGTACTACATGTACGTATGTAGTGTACCCGTGATATTATATCTGTGATATAGACTCATCGAGTCTTACTACATGTACATATACAGTGTACCCGTGATATAGACTCATCGAAGGTCTTCTGTTTATCAGTCGTACTACATGTACGAATATAGTGTACCCGTGATATAGACTCATCGAAGGTCTTCTGTTTATCAGTCGTACTACATGTACGAATATAGTGTACCCGTGATATAGACTCATCGAAGGTCTTCTGTTTATCAGTCGTACTACATGTACGTATGTAGTGTACCCGTGATATTATATCTGTGATATAGACTCATCGAGTCTTACTACATGTACGTATACAGTGTACCCGTGATATAGACTCATCGAATGTCTCCTGTTTATCAGTCTTACTACATGTACGTATATCGTGTACCCGTGATATAGACTCATCGAATGTCTCCTGTTTATCAGTCTTACTACATGTACGTATATAGTATTACCGTGATATAGACTCATCGAATGTCTTCTGTTTATCAGTCTTACTTCATGTACGTATATAGTGTACTCGTGATTTAGACTCATCGAAAGTCTTCTGTTTATCAGTCTTACTACATGTACGTATATAGTGTACCCGTGATATAGACTCATCGAAGGTCTTCTGTTTATCAGTCGTACTACATGTACGTATGTAGTGTACCCGTGATATAGACTCATCGAATGTCTTCTGTTTATCAGTCTTACTACATGTACGTATATAGTGTACTCGTGATGTAGACTCATCGAATGTCTTCTGCTTATCAGTCTTACTACATGTACGTATATAGTGTACCCGTGATATAGACTCACCGAAAGTCTTCTGTCTATCAGTCTTACTACATGTACGTATATAGTGTGCTCGTGATATAGACTCATCGAATGTCTTCTGGTTATCAGTCTTACTACATGTACGTATATAGTGTACTCGTAATATAGACTCATCGAATGTCTTCTGTTTATCAGTCTAGATAACGGGGAAGTACCTATCTTATAATTAGCCAATGATGATTCCAATGTGTTAATGGGATTTGTCTGTTGTCGCCTGATGGGGTGTTCGTACCTCTAGATCTGCCACTAGGACTTGTGATGTATCTATATAACGGGTACACTATATACGTACATGTAGTACTAAATGTACGTATATAGTGTACTCGTGATATAGACTCATCGAATGTATTCTGTTTATCAGTCTTACTACATGAACGTATATAGCGTACTCGTGATATAGACTCATCGAATGTCTTATGTTTATCAGTCTTACTACATGTACGTATATAGTGTACCCGTGATATAGACTCACCGAAAGTCTTCTGTCTATCAGTCTTACTACATGTACGTATATAGTGTACCCGTGATATAGACTCACCGAAAGTCTTCTGTCTATCAGTCTTACTACATGTACGTATATAGTGTGCTCGTGATATAGACTCATCGAATGTCTTCTGTTTATCGGTCTTACTACATGAACGTATATAGTGTACTCGTGATATAGACTCATCGAATGTATTCTGTTTATCAGTCTTACTACATGTACGTATATAGTGTACTCGTGATTTAGACTCATCGAAAGTCTTCTGTTTATCAGTCGTACTACATGTACGTATATAGTGTACCCGTTATATAGATACATCACAAGTCCTAGTGGCAGATCTAGAGGTACGAACACCCCATCAGGCGACAACAGACAAATCCCATTAACACATTGGAATCATCATTGGCTAATTATAAGATAGGTACTTCCCCGTTATCTAGACACGTCACAAATCTTATATTAAAAGTCAAGGTACGTTCGTGATATTGACGCAACGAAATTTCCAGCGAAAAAACCCCAATGAAAAATCATTCCAAGAAAGTCAAAGATATCAATTTATTAACCGGAAATATAATGAAAACATTGTTTATGTTTATCAAGATCTGGCACTACAGGCTGTTGATTCATTCTATTTTGGTGGTTTATGTTTAGACGTTAAAAGAATGCCTTCCGGACGACTCTGACTTGATCCCAATGATCGAAGACTGCTGTTTCAACTCCGTGACTGCCACCTATCGGCACAACGAAGTGGATCAGCTGGCTATCATCCTGTTTCAGCATCAGATTACAGGCCTAGGTAAGCTTCTAACATGTATAACCCGGTGCAGAATAGGCATATACTATTTCTATTCCGAGAGATAGAACTATACAGTATAAACCTGCACAGAGGCAACTACGAAATTTCAAGATTGTTTTTTTTTAGTTTCTGCACCCCTATGTTATGATGAAATCGAAGGCTCTGTGTGCGCCACCTGGTGGATGATACAGTTAAATTAGATTGATCTTTTGATGTAGATCAAAATAATTGCTCAGCACCGTAACGGTACAATTGACTGACTTTGGAGTTAGGTGTCGCTCCTCTGTAATCTTGAAAGGCTAGGTACATCAGTCAAGCGATTGGTCAGGTTTTTTTTCACTTTAAAACAATCAAAAAGCTTAAAGCGATAGTATATCAATCTAAAGTTTAGGGTTCGAATCCCGTTCTAGTCCCATTGAATGTTTAGGCTCAACTCGTTGTTGTTGACTGTATTTTGATCATTTCATCTTCATTGTTTCGCATGAAAGTCCCGCAAGGTGTGGGTCTCTTTTTCAGAAGTGATTTAGCTTTAGTCGAGTCGGAGAAGACAGTTTCCAATACTTACTTTTATTTAGTTATAGTTATACTTCTTTGCATACAAATGTAAAATACTTATAAAACAGTCACTTTACGGTATCTTGTACCATCACATTTATAACGCGCAAAGTACTGCGTCCTGTCTTATCTCAAGAAAACAGCTGTACCACAGGTAGATTACGTCTTACTGAACTAATGCAGACCCCATAATTACAAGATCATTACTTCCTTACTATATAAGAGGATAATCAATACGTTATTTACATGTAATAAGTATGATAAACTTAATTTTTGAAACATTTCAATAAATGTGTAACAGGAAAGTGAATAGTGTGCTCCCATCGAGGATCGAAACCTCGATCTCCAGGTTCCTTATCGAAACCTCGGTCTCCAGGTTCCTTGTCGGACGCTCTAGGTCTACCACTGAGCTAAAGGGATGTGTAGCTCGAAGCTTGTATAATTAAAACATGCCACACTACCCTCCCCCCCTCCCCTTTTTTTAATAATAATAATAAAATAATTTTATTAAAGTGTCACATATTAATTCACAGTAAAATAAATACAATATAAAAACCATTGAGTAGGAATTAGTATATCCGGCCAAATGCTGACCTACGAGACACTATTAAAACACATGATACATACCATTTCATCGAAAAAGTAAAACAGATTCATCTAAAATACTCATGAGAAGATATAACCTTTGTGTTCCATCTATAAAACATTAACAAGGAAAAACTTTTAGTATTTCAGGATGATGGACATGTGGTTTCATGATAAAATATCAATAACCTGTGCCAGACATCCTATAATGAGAACATCTCCAAGTATCCCATTACTAATGAAATTTAAAATTGATATTAATAATGATAGAAAGAAAACAAATGCTTTTAGATTACATGATTATCAAGTTAATTAGTAGTTTCTAATGGTGCACTATAGATACTATTCACCTAGTTGATATCACTGTACTGTATGAAATAGATGATATCACTGCACTATATGTGCTTTGCGTCTACTGTAATAAACAAGTTGAAAGCTGAGTCTGGATGCTATTACAGTACATTATGGCGATGAATTTCTGTTCCTCGTCTAACAATGTGAAGTCTGGATTTTTCCCCATGACCATGGAAAAAAAGTTCTAATCTAATATCATCATATTGTGGACATTTCACGAGGAAGTGTCTTTCACCACCTTTTTCCTGAATATCAATAACCTGTACAAGACATTCTATAATGAGAACATCTTCAAGTGTCCCATGACTATTAACATTTGAAATTGATATTAATAATAATAGAAAGAAAACATTTTTTTTAGATTACATGATTATCAAGTTAAATAGTAGTTTCTAATGATGCACTATAGATATTATTCAATTAGATGAAATCACGGTACTGCATGAAATAGATAATATCACTGCACTATATGTGCTTTGCGCCTATTACAATTATATTGTTTCAATAAACAAGAAGAAAGCTGAGTCTGGATACTATTACAGTTCATTATGGTGATGAATTTCTGTTCCCCGTCTAACATTGCGAAGTCTGGATTTTTTCCTGTGGCCACGGAAAAAAGTTCAAACCTAATATCATCATATTGTGGACATTTCATGAGGAAGTGTCTTTCATCTTCTATTTCCTGACTATCACATAGTTTACACAGTCTTTCCACTAATGGTAAAGGCGATAAAATACATAAACTATTTACGTGCAAAAAACCCAAATGGCCATTATGTACTTTTTAAACATACGTGTAAACAAATTATTTGCACTTAAGTGCAAAAAGCACAGAGAGGTTTCCACAAGAAAATCACCCACCAAGGTCAGTTTCGAATGTTCCAACATGAAGCTAAATAATTGGTCGACAAATGAGCTGTGTTCTAACAAGTTCGTATCGACCAATCAAACCTTAAGTGAAAAAGATTATTTACATTAGGTGGGTTTTTTTCCACTTAAGTGTGAAAGATTTATTTCCATTATGTGTTTTTTTCACTTAAGTTCAAAATATTTATTTCCATTATGTGTTTTTTTCACCTAAGTTCAAAAGATTTTTTTCCATTATGTGCTTTGTTCACTAAGGTGCAAAAGATTTATTTCCATTATGTGTCCGTCAGCGTGGCCCTCGTGTAGTTTGCCAATTAATACGCTGTCATCCAACGTATTTCCGTCGTTAACCCACGCAACATGTTCGCCTTTTAAAGCCTGTGCAAATTGTCCTACATGACAATTCCAATGATAATCGCAGTAACATTCGCGAAAAAGTCAAAGTCTACCGGAATCACCTCAACCTCCGCCGCCATTTTGACATCAGGGGCATGCGCAATACATCGGTAAACGGAACCATCCATTGTGACAAGAGGGATAAGAGGAAATCTTTTGTACTTGAGTGCAAAGGTACATAATGTAAAAAGATTACTACATAATGACAAAAAAGGATTTTTTGCATTATGTGGGTTTTTTTATACTTAAGTGAAAAAGTGTTTGCCAATATGTGATTTTTTGGCCATTATGTCCAGTTTTTTTCACTTGAGTGTAAATCTTTCAAGTTACACTTAAGTAGTTTATGTATTTTATCCTAAAACGGCCGCCCATATGTGTGTATATACGTGAGTCATATAAATATGATCCGATGGGAAAACATGCACATACATATGTATTTACATGAAGTCCACGTAATAAGTTGTTTGTGATATAATCATCGAGCGTTTGCGACTGATTCGTATTGATAGATGGATAGTGCATTGGAGAAGATTTATGCATATATTAGATGTAGTCCATGCAGTAAGTTATTTGTGATATAATCATTGATGGAAAGTGAGTTAAGATTTAGGCCGATTGTATGGGCGATTGATTAACAGCTTGTGGGGCTGCTGGGGAAAATCCCATGGTAACTACGTACATGTACACTACTAATATCTGTAGTTGTACAGATAGAGACACGAAGGTGTGAGTTTAAAAGAAATGATGTNGGGGTGTGTTATTATGTAAACAGTATCAGTTGAAGATGTACAAGTAGTTCCTGTATTTGATAACAAAATGCAACGGCAGGTTGAATCGTTTGACATATATTTGTCTGTAACTAATAAAATATTAAATCCATATTACATACAGCCCTAATACAAATATTGTCTCGGCATACGCCCTGTATTGAAATATCTAAATTATTAGAGTTTTTTTCCCATTAATTCCATATTCTAGAGACTAGAGCCAGTGAAGTTAGTTCCACATGTTCCTTAAGTTTGCATGTTGAAATAGTCACCAGTCATCGCGCTAGAGTACCTTTTTGAAGTTTACGATGTGTTAATGCTAGGCAAAGGGTTTGTTTATGCCCCAACACAAGGTGGTGCGGGACATACATGTATATCGTTACCATTGTCCATCAGTCCGTCCGTCCGTCCGTCCGTCTTTTGCGTTTAGGTCATTTATGAACAAAGTACTGCAGCTACGGCCACGCAATTTAAAATGCTCATGCGCGCTCCTGAGTGCTGCAGATTGCATGGCGTTTTGGTGACCTTGACCTTTGACCTTGGCATTGCATTTATGGTCAAACAGTGAGCAGGGCATCCGTGTCTTACAGGCACATGTCTAGTTTTGAAAAATGTATGTCATTGTTTAATTGTATAACAGAATTGATGCAAGGTCTCTTTTTCCCGGGACCTGACAACAGGATTCAGCAGTTTCGAGCACTTCAGTCATATGCCCAGAGAACTACGTGGCCGCCCTTGGTCTCTTGTTATAAATAACTCATCTGTGTAAGTGTTACATGATTACAAAATACACAACAGCCAGTGGATAAAACATTGTATCTCTCCATGTACTCGATTATCTATTAGAATGATCGCTTTTCCTTGTCGAGAATCTCGCCCTCAATCGGAACTTCTTTTGAAGATCTTAAGCACCCAATGTGTGTTGGACAACAATACATGTTTACTCTTTTTATTTTGGTTATATTTTAGTGTAACCTGACATTAGTTGCCCTTGTTGTAAGGAAATATGACGATTTGTTTCCCCGAAATTTCTCATCTTTCCCTACTACTAGGATAATAAATGTTCTTTGTGTGATACCGAGCCATATACTATACACATACATGTACATACAGTACCATTGTGTCATTTTAATCCGGCTACATAAACAAGTCGTCTAGACTTACCTTCATATCACCCGGAGGTACTTCCTAAATGCCAGACTACAGGTAAACTCAACAAGAGTAAGATTTGAAAGCTTTTCTTCTAGATTTAGGTTCACATAAAGCCACCACAGTGTGCTGTCCGAGCCCTTTCCGAGTTAGGTTCGTATAAACAAAACCAGGGTGAGTTTCACATTTATGTTTTATTTTCATATATATATTATAAAATTTCTGCATATGATACTATGTAAGGTGGGACAAAAATGTTACAAAGGTCATGCTACTACAGCAGCAGCAGTTAACTGTTTGGAGACCTTTAGAACATGTACCATTCTAATGTTTCAGATATCCAACAATGCCAAGAGGAGTTGATGGAAAGAGCACCGGACGTGTTCGTATTTGAGATCGAACCCCGCCCCCTTGGGTTAGTTGTAATCAATAGGTACGATTTTGACTCGAAACAACTGAACGCCTACATTAAGAACCGGAAGTCTGGGATCGGACCGGAAGAGTATCAGGAAGCGCCCTACCAAGAGGGCGTTCTGCTGATAGTGAGAGTGAGGAACACGGAGAAAGGTATCAGAAGACCCATTTGATTAAGACAAGCTAAAAATTATTCAGGATCTAATTGAATGCAACATGTTGGTTGCGTACAATGCTATTTAAAATACTATAGGGGCTTTATACCGAAACAATTATCTACATAACCGTCATAGATCCACCATATCCTTGTTGTGATACACTATCTTGTAGGTTCACACTTAGGAGATTTAATGCAAATCTAAAAAAAAATTACATATATATAATATACCTATAATTGAATGTCCTGGTATGGCTGTCTGTCTGTCTTTTCATAAATCTTGCCTTGTTTCAATTGGTGATATCTTTGCAATTCCTAAAGAAGGTTATTTTGAGAGTGGCTGGAGACCTACGTATTAAACACAAAACAAGCATTTGATGATAAAGTCTTCCGAACATTTGTCATTCGATATTAATGAAGTCACATTCAGCACACTTATTTATGTATACATACATGTTTGGTTCAGGTTACAATGTAATCAAAAGGTGAAAAAAAATGTACTACTTCAGAAAAGAGCATGGTGTACATGTGCTTCCACTGGGGAGCGAACCCTCGAATTCCAGGTTCCTAGTCGGACGCTCTACCACTAAGCTAAAGGGAAATTCCCCTCTAGCTCGAAGCTAGAAGGCGACCTTAATTCTATGTACAATTAAAATCTGCCACACTACTCCCCCCTTTTTAAATATGTTCGCCCTAGAAAACCACAACCCAGGATCTAACTCCCTGTCAATACAGGGAGGGCCACGGACACCATTTAATAAATAATGATATACAACATTTGACATAGCGCCCTATCTAGCTAACATAAGCTACCCTAATGCGCTTTACAGTACATAGATATACAATTTGATACAGTCAATACAATTAGCATATATATTAATCAATACAATATTGAGGAATTCGCAGGAGCTGCCTTATCAGGCGCTAACTACTAGTCCTACGCCACCTGGCTTATATCTCCCTATGAGTGTATGGCTGTGGAGATGTATTGTGTTCTTTTTGTAGTTGAACCGTGCTTCCAATGGTATCAATTATAGTGCCACCTCACTTGAATGCTACAGCACATATACCGTAACACCCACCCAGACCATTTTATACCCCACCCGGGTTGTTGGAGTTGTGTGGGCAGAAGAAAAACACTTTCTCTAATATTCCATGCGTACCGCGACCTTTGGGATCGAACCCCGGCCGCCTGCTTAGAAGGTCGGAGTATTAACCACTCGACCAATCCTCCATTTGTAACAGGCAAGAGAATAGTGTGCTTCCACCGGGGATCGAACCCTCGATCTCCAGGTTAATAGTCGGACGCTCTACCACTGAGCTAAAGGGAAATTCCCTCTAGCTCTAAGCTCGAAGGCGACCTTTATCCTATGTACAATTAAAATCTGCCACAATTGTATACATGAACCATACATGAAGACCTTAGGCGTATACCTCAGTTGTGTAAACAACGATTCTGTATTTCACAGCAATGTTTCTATTTGTTTCAGTGTTACGTCAGGTGTTTTCCCGGACACATACGATCTCCGGTCAGTCTGTATACTTTCAACCATACTTCCCCTGTTTCCATGATACGCTCACGGAATTACTGGGTACCAGTGACCCCCGAAATCCAGTACAACCATCACGTGAAACTACCATGTATCCGGGTACTCCATATCCTGATACGGAACCTACCCAATGGTCACATCGGCACAGCCAAAGAGATCGTTCATATTCCCCGGAAGATGATGACGGACGATGTGATTTTGAACGCTGCCGTTCCCCGGAGGTCAGACGTGGCGGCCACGATGATAACTATCATTTCCCGGGGGACGGAGGACGAGGTGATTATTATCTTCCCCCGGGGGACGGAAAACGAGATTATCGCTATCACTCCCCGGGAGACAGACGGCGACCTGAACGTTATGATGTCCCAGGGGACGGACGACGAGATGATCGGCATTATTCCCCGCGTATTCCCCATCCGGGCTTTGATGACGGAGCCTGGAAAGGTGACTTCGAAGAAGACGGAGTAAACTCGACAGATTCCAGAAGGTATCCCGACGTGGCGGAGGATGACGATCCAACTGAAGGCGAGAAGGAAACAACTAAAATCAAAACATCATCAATCTGTGACGACGGTAAGTTAAAATGCTCCTCAGAATGGAAAACATAGGATGAGTCAATTATTTGGAAAAGTTTTGTTGTAATTTATTTTTTATTTTTTATATCCGATGATAAAGCCATCCAACCGTGGCGTTATCGACATTTGATTTGAGACACTGATATTCCACTTTTCTGATATTTGAATTATTTGAGTAAATGCTAACTTACTTTATTCAAAAATATGTCCAAATGAAGAAACTTATAAAACAAACCACTCTTGGATTATAATATCAATTGGTGACAGATTTGAAGGTCAGAAGTGTACATGTATTTACAATATTCGGGTTGTATTTTCGTCTACACTAAAAGGGAATTTGGGTCGTTTGTGTTTTGAGTCTTATCTATAGCTCTAGTCATTTAAGGAAATGCCAGGTTTGGTGGTGGAGGAAAGCCTGTGGGACCAGAGAAAAGTCAGCGACCTGCGGACAGTACTTGGCGTATTCCGCACGTAGGCCTCTAACCTTCGACCCAGTAGTGGAGGGCTAGTGGTCGTAGACGGTCAGACGTCTCAATCACTCGGCCACCGCGGCCCAGTGATAGAAAATACACGTAACGATTAAAAATATCATCAGTAAATGGAATATACCATTGATCACTAAAGAAACCGAAGACTGATCAATGTGAAACAACGGGAAAAAATCTGAAGCAAGGAAAACACAGACAAAGAAAGACTGGAATATCGTCAAGACCGCCAGGGCTGAGGTGAAGAAGCTTATTGAAGGGAAACCCAGCAAGTACTATTTCATTTCCAATATGCTTTACACTAGTCAGCCGCAGACGACAGCTAAGGAGGGAACGTTTTCTGCCAGTTCATCAATGTTAAACAAAGAGACAACACCTGTAAGTCAACATCGGATGTGACAACAGGAAGGTAGGGGATAACCAGAGGAAGTCAGAAGGCCCTAACAAGACAGTATGAGTGCTACCCGACCTATCTTAACAATGACCTTCAGCACGAATGGACCAATAAAGATGCCGAGGAAAATCAACCCATCCAAGACTAACGGATCCATGTTATATACCGTGTCAATTTCGTCACCATATTTCCAACATATCGTCGGTAACTTCGCACTAAATATCAAACTATCAAGCTACTACTTATCCGTTTTTCCCTACTCTTCAATCAACCGTTCTTTCCAACAGTTTAGTCACCAACAATCCGTTTGTTCAACTAATCCGGTTGTTCCATTAATCGGCCAGATTTGTTTCACTATCCAGTGCCCAAATTACCCCCTTTTAAATTTTCCCAGACAAAATCATTCGGTTTGTCCCACAACACTGCCTAAAATAATCGGTGTGTCCCTCAGTCAAGTCACCAAAAATCCGTGTGTTCCACAGTCCAACCATCAATGATCTGTATGTTCCACAGTACATCCACCATTCCGTGTGCTTCACAGTCATACAGATATGCCGTATGTTCAATACTCAAGACATCAAAAAGCCGTGTGTTTCACAGTCCAACAGCAATTAATCTCTGTGATCCACAGTCAAGCCACCATTAATTAGCAGAACACAGTCCAGCAACCAATAAGCCTTGTGTTCGATAGTCAAGCGCCACAAATACGCCTCGTTTTCTATAGCCAAACCACCAATGATCTGTGTGTTCCACAGTTTAGCCAACAATAAGCTATGTGTTCCACAGTCCAGCCACAAATATGCCGTGTGGTCAACAGCTCTTCCATCAATAAGCTGTTTGTTCCACAGTCTAGCCACCAATCAGCCGTATGTTCCACATTTTAGCCACCATAAAGCCGTGTATTCGACAGTTCCGCCACCGTTTATTCATGTTCCACAATCCAGCCAAAAATGTGCCGCGTGTCCCACATTTCTGCCACGGTTAAGCTGTTTGTTCCACAGTCAAGCCAACATTAAGTTATGTGTTCCACAGTCAAGCCACCATTAAGCCATGTGTTCCATAGTCCAACCACAAATACGCCACGTGGTCCATAGTCATGCCACAGATGTGCCATTGGTTTTTCAGTTCAGCCACCAATGAGCTGTGTTGTCCAAAGTCCAGCCACCAAGACGTTGTGTGTTCTACTGTCCAGCCACCAATTAGCAGTGTGTTCCATAGGCAGTTCAATCACAAGTATACCTCGTGTCCCATAGTCAAGTGTGCTACATAGTCCAGCTACAGTGAAGATGTGTGTTCCACAGTACAGCAGCAAATACACCTCGTGTTCCATAGTCCAGCAGCAAATACACCTCGTGTTCAATAGTCCAGCAGCAAATACACCTCGTGTTCCACAGTCCAGCCACCAATGAGCCTCGTGTTCTAAAGTCCAGCAGCAAATACACCTCGTGTTCCATAGTCCAGCAGCAAATACACCTCGTGTTCCATGGTCCAGCAGCAAATACACCTCGTGTTCCTTAGTCCAGCAGCAAATACACCTCGTGTCCCACAGTCCAGCCACCAATGAGCCTCGTGTTCTAAAGTTCAGCAGCAAATACACCTCGTGTTCCATGGTCCAGCAGCAAATACACCTCGTGTTCCGTAGTCCAGCAGCAAATACACCTCGTGTCCCACAGTCCAGCCACCAATGAGCCTCGTGCTCTAAAGTCCAGCAGCAAATACACCTCGTGTTTCATAGTCCAGCAGCAAATACACCTCGTGCTCCATAGTCCAGCAGCAAATACACCTCGAGTTCCATAGTCCAGCAGCAAATACACCTCGTGTTCCATAGTCCAGTGTGTTACATATAGTCCAGTTACAGTGAAGCTGTGTGTTCCACAGTCCAGCCACCAATGAGCCTTGTGTTCCATAGTCCAGCAGCAAATACACCTCGTGTTCCATAGTCCAGCAGCAAATACACCTCGTGTTTCATAGCCCAGCAGCAAATACACCTCGTGTTCCATAGTCCAGCCACCAAGGAGCCTTGTGTTCCATAGTCCAGCAGCAAATACACCTCGTGTTTCATAGTCCAGCAGCAAATACACCTCGTGTTCCATAGTCCAGCCACCAAGAAGCCTTGTGTTCCATAGTCCAGCAGCAAATACACCTCGTGTTCCATAGTCCATTAGCAAATACACCTCGTGTTCCATAGTCCAGCAGCAAATACACCTCGTGTTTCATAGTCCAGCAGCAAATACACCTCGTGTTCCATAGTCCAGTGTGTTACATATAGTCCAGTTACAGTGAAGCTGTGTGTTCCATAGTCCAGCAGCAAATACCCCTTGTGTTCCATAGTCCAGCCACAGTGAAGCTGTGTGTTCAATAGTTCAGCTACCAACATTCCGTGTTTTCAACAGTCTAGCCACTAATAAGCTGCATGTACCACAGTCTAGCCACCACCAATCCGGCGGTTCAATTATTCAGCCAGACTTTAGGGGACAGATTAAGAAAATTGTCAACATGTTTCTAAATGTTTGACAATTGAAGTGTCTCACCCAAGAGTCGAGATGTGTTGATTTCTCCCCCAAGGAAGTAAACGATTTATTCTATTATAACTAATACAAGCTGTAGTCAGGGTAGATATTGATGTGACATGATGTTTATATGAAGTAAGATATTTTATTCCCATTTTAGACGAAGAGAAGAAGATGGTATCAGTGTGTCTGGAATCTTCTATTGGTAAACAATTTTTGGACAAATTTCGAAAAGATAATGACTGTGAAATCGACGTCAAGTTTAAAAAGAAAGCTATTAAACCAATACGAACCCACGCCACGTCGGATACCACTTCCGGGTAGGTGTTCACACTTTACACGATAGGTTAAAGGTCAGGTATGTTTCCAATTATCCTGGTATTATTGATAGTGACATTCATAGAAATACTTGTGTATATAAAATGAGTAAGTTATCAGTGTATATAAAATGAGTTAGTTATCTGTGTATATAAAATGAGTAAGTTATCAGTGTATAAAAAATTAGTTAGTTATCTGTGTATATAAAATAAGCTAGTTATGTATGTATATAAAATGAGTTAGTTATCAGTGTATAAAAAATTAGTTAGTTATCTGTGTATATAAAATAAGCTAGTTATGTATGTATATAAAATGAGTTAGCTATCTGTGTATGAAAAATTAGGTAGTTTTCTTTGTATATGAAATGACTTATTTATCTTTTTCTATATACATTAAGTAACCACACACAAATGCATGATGCATTTTGTTTGTTAAATAAACAACATCACCTTTACAACTGAGCATACACGTATATGTATTGTATAATATTGTGTAATTTTAGCAGCACAGACAGAAAACCTACGCGCGACGTCTCCCATACGCTGGGGATGATGTTTCCATTATTTTCCTTGGAACCTGGGCTTGGAAACATTACTACCATTTGCATAGATCAGGATCGCCCTATTAGACATTCACGTGCACGCCCAGTCGATCGGTCAGACACCATTAACATAAGTGGCACCAAACTGACCGTCAAGAAAGGGGACGTTTCTCTTGAAAAGGTAGGTTGGTATCATACCAGGTGTTTAGATTCTCATAGGCTTCATTATTAGGCAAATACTTGATATAAAAACATAACCATTTGTTCGGGTTAACCACTACACAGTAAATTTTCAAGATTTTCTGTTTTGATTCGCCCCAATCATAACGTTTACATCCGGGGTCTTCTCCGCGGATAATGATGAACGTAAAACACACAGAGGTGAATGCAGGAACAAAGTATAGCTGAATCGTTTCACCTACATTAACTAACTTATATATGTTGTTAAGTCAGAATGTCGATGTGTCTACGTACGTCCAACTTTAGATAGAGTTATGCTCCTTTTTTTTCAAAATTTGATACAAAAGTTTGTTGGGGGGCACAACTCCACATTTATTTCACCTTAGTTCATCATTGCTATACCTGTTTATCCTGGGAGGTCTGAGTGTTGATGACTTAGGTAGGATCTCATATCCAAATTTATATAGAATTATGGCCCGTTGTTTCGATATCAAAGTCTGTCTGGAGCAAAATGTGCACTTCCGTCCAGTAAACGTTTTAACTTACAAATATCGGGGAGATTGATTTCAAGTTTCATATTCCACTGTTCACAGAATTTTTTCCTTTGTTCATTTTTGATACCAATTTTTTTTCAGGTAATTCATTGTAACTTCTGTTTCAGAATATATTGTGTCTAAATGGATGTGAGCATACAAGTACATTTTTGACAATACCTCAAAGGTGTACATAATGTATCCTTGGTTTTTTTTCTTCTGAATATTAAATTGTTTGATGGTATATTATAAAACACAGAAAAAACCCAGTTTAACCCCGAGACGCATTGCTATATAAATGGTTTAGGTGTTGAGAATTGAGTAATTGACTTCATCTTAGCTCTTGTTTCAGTTCAAAATTATCCCGAAATGAGTGTATTTCATATTTATTTTTTTATAAAATGCGAAATATAGAATTTGTCTTGTGAACCATATGTTTTAGATATCTCATCTGTATCCTACTTTTAACATATACACATATGATCTACCACTTGTACAGTTATGCACACTGTATGTTGTCAGGCGGACGTTTTGGTGAACGTTGTAGGAGACAGCCTGGAGCTACAGACAGGTTTGATATCCAAGGCATACGCCAAGAGAGGTGGCGACGAACTCACACAGGTAATGTTAAGGGATCCCGACCCATTCACCTAATTCGTTACCAAATTGATGTTTCAATATTTTGTGAGATAACATATTTGTCAAAGACGCATCATTGCATTTACATATATAGATAGATAACACTTGATGTCCACTCAAGTTATTTTTAATTTACGGACAGTTGAGCGGTATTTGTGTTTTACAGGCATACCAGACCGCCATGCTAGTGTATGATGGTAACGGGACTATTGGATGTGACGGGGGAAAGTTGTCATGTAAACACCTCATCACCATGGTACTGCCACAGCGACAGAACTCGTCTTCTGACCAGGTATAGCGCTTTAGTCTTGTCTTCTGTCCGATCAGGTTATGGCTTCTCAGTTATGTATTCCGTTTGGCTAGGTTACGGAAAGGCCCATGTGTAATATTGAAATTTGTTTGCATGCTTATAAATTGATTCCGAATTTTTCTGTCATTGTTATTAGTTGAACTGCTTGTCTGTGCGTTAACCTTAATTGCGAATTATGGGTAAACGCTGTCGCCTTTCACTATTTTGCATAATGCATCGGACGTTTGAACCTAGGCAACGGTCAATAACGTAAAATCAAGTGGGCAAGTCCAAGCACCGCTCTCCACTTCAGGCAGCCGTGTCATTATAGAAGCGCCTTAGTCAAATGTCCCTTTGGGATCGGTCGTTTGCGGTAGTCATGGAGACTACATACATGGAGATGGACCTCCATCAGCGGAGACACAATTTTCTCAAAGTTCTTAGATTGAACTGTAGATGTGATTCCCCGAGTTATTCCTCATGGTCCATTTCAGTCTATTTTTAGGTATTGTTTTAGTATTAGATTTCATTCTCAGGAGACAATGGAATCTTTGACTTAAAATAATGACTTGTTTGTGAATGACGTAGCTAAAAGAAACTGCAAGAATTTGTTTCAATAGACATTCGGGAAGGTAATACAACTCATAGGACTTTGATTTCTAGTTTGGAATGATCTTGCACGATTTATTCTGCAATAGAGTTCACGGAAATGCAGTGGTTTGTCTTTTACTGCTGGTTTTGTTCATAATGTAAGCATTCGCTGAACGTGCTGAACAAGCCTTTTCTTCGAATGGACAATTTGTTAGGACGCTTTCACCTTTTCAACACAAAAACAAAACAAAATTAGTAAAATTGTTTATTGGCCGTCCCTATTCTGTAATTTTGTTTTGGCTGCATTGAATGAGAAGTTAACTAACTAGCCGACATTGCTCTCTGTATATCTGCCTATCGATATTGGATTGTCTAACAAAATCAATAACCTGTACCTAAGCGAGATTATGCTTTCTCTTAATCTGGACAGGTGCCTGAGACGGGGATTTCCCTATTAAAACAATTGTACAACGTCACGTCAACAATGCATAAACGCCACATCAAAATGCATTGAGCTTGAAAAGTCAACGTTGTATTGCGTTAATGATAGTATGAACATGGTAAAATAACAATAATCTTTCACCCACTGGAGACGAGACTATGGTATCTCAACCCTCGGGGAAAGATTATGAAGTTGCCAAAGACTTGGCAAGCCTTGTGCTTGACAACTTAAGAATCGTCTCCTGGTTGAGATTCCCCTATCTCATCCCAAAAATCTTATTGAAAAAAATAAATCAAACCACGTCGCAAGCCGAGGGTGGGATTTCACAAAAGTTTGGTGACAATCACTGACAAAACAGGTCATGTGCTCGAAGTTTGTATACACATCTCATGGTGGGGAATCCGATTCACCGCACTCTTTAAAGACTTCGTATTAGCCCGGTTACAGAAGCTTATCAACTTGTATTTATCACTCTTGTTAGTCCAGTGGGTAGCGTGTAGGGGATATGTTGGAGGAAGCCCACTTGGTCGAGCAAGTGACCCCAAAATGTTTATCATCTGGGAATAAAACAGTGGTAAAAGTAGTAAAAGGCGAGTGCGCTAACCAATGCTCTATCTTACTACATCTTTCAGATGATTTTGTAGAATATTTCACCAAAGATTCTGTTTTTATTCAAAGTATTTAATATATATTTTCAGAAATTTACTATCATCTTGGAATCAGTATTCAAAAAGGCAGCTGACCTTGGTTTTGGAACGATTGTCCTACCAGTGATGGGTTGTGGTAAAATGCTTCAGTATCCCCTCCACTCGGCTATCGCCATAACCATGGACACCACGGTCAAGGTCTTAAAAAGCTCGAAAAAACCCCTTAAGGTATGTGTCGACACGTGTCTGATGGTGAACAACTAAGTTTTCCAACAGATATTCTCAAATTTGTTTTGAATTCCAAAACACTAACCCAAATACTACGGAATGGTAGCGAATATATTATGAATGTATTTGGGAACGCATTTCAAGCGTATGCGTACAAAATTAGATATCACTTTGATATAATTTATGTACGGAAATATTGTATGGACCTTATGTTCATATGAATGCTATTGGGATAGCATTTAGGTTTCCAACCCCATCATACTGTACCGATCAACACTTTATTTTTTACGTTGATGATATGTTTTGGTTGATCAGTATTACCATGACTAGTACACTGATTCATATTAACCAGAGGTAAAGGTCAAGTTACTGTATTCGTTGGTTGATTTTAGTCCAACCCACGCGATGAACTTTCAATAATTTCCGTGTATGTTCAGGGGGACTTCCGGAGTTATAAACATTATGTCATAATATCATATATTTGACAACCCCGTGCCGAAAACTGGGCAATATACAATGTTACAACCAAGAGTTAAAACTTTCAATCTTTTGCTCAGACTGTTCCAATAAAAATGACAATTCAAATGCATGATCCCTGGCCGATAGTTTGATATATTTTGTTTGTTGGTCTTGGTCACTACATTGACATATATTTTACAGAACCATCAATACAAAGGTGAGTTTAGGTCACACCAATCTGATAGACATTTGAGTTTCTTTGTTTGTAAGTTTGTTGCAGTTCTGAAATCGGACACATTTATACATTGATTTGTTCTGTAATAGGACATTGTAAAACAAAGATAAGTTCCGAAATTGGACATTGTTATACACTGTTTAAATATGAGTTTTGAAATTGAACATTGTAATATAGTGATTGTTTCTTAAATTGGGCATTGTAATACAATGATAACTTTTGAAATTAGACATTGTAATACAATGATAATTTCTGAAATTAGACATTGTAATACAACGAGAAGTTCTGATAATGGTCATTGAAATACAGTGATTGTTTCTGAATTTTAAAATTAAAATACAGTGATTATTTCTGAAATTTGACATTACAATACAGTGATTGTTTCTGAAATTTGACATTACAATACAGTGATTATTTCTGAAATTCGACATTACAATACAGTGATTGTTTCTGAAATTTGGCATTACAATACAGTGATTACTTCTGAAATTTGACATTAGAATACAGTGATTGTTTCTTAAATTTGGCATTACAATACAGTGATTGTTTCTGAAATTTGACATTACAATACAGTGATTGTTTCTGAAATTTGACATTACAATACAGTGATTGTTTCTGAAATTTGACATTACAATACAGTGATTGTTTCTGAAATTTGACATTACAATACAGTGATTGTTTCTGAAATTTGACATTACAATACAGTGATTTTTTCTGAAATTTTACATTGCAATATAGTGATTGTTTCTGAAATTTGACATTACAATACAGTGATTGTTTCTGAAATTTGACATTACAATACAGTGATTGTTTCTGAAATTTGACATTACAATACAGTGATTGTTTCTGAAATTTGACATTACAATACAGTGATTGTTTCTGAAATTTGACATTACAATACAGTGATTATTTCTGAAATTTGACATTACAATACAGTGATTATTTCTGAAATTTGACATTACAATACAGTGATTATTTCTGAAATTCGACATTACAATACAGTGATTGTTTCTGATATTTGGCATTACAATACAGTGATTATTTCTGAAACTTGACATAACAATACAGTGATTGCTTCTGAAATTTTACATTACAATACAGTGATTGTTTCTGAAATTTGACATTGCAATAAAGTGATTATTTCTGAAATTTGACATTACAATACAGTGATTGTTTCTGAAATTTGACATTGCAATACAGTGATTGTTTCTGAAATTTGACATTACAATACAGTGATTATTTCTGAAATTTGACATTACAATACAGTGATTGTTTCTTAAATTTGACATTGCAATACAGTGATTGTTTCTGAAATTTGACATTACAATACAGTGATTATTTCTGAAATTTGCATTACAATACAGTGATTATTTCTGAAATTTGACATTACAATACAGTGATTGTTTCTGAAATTTGACATTGCAATACAGTGATTGTTTCTGAAATTTTACATTGCAATATAGTGATTGTTTCTGAAATTTTACATTACAATACAGTGACTGTTTCTGAAATTTGACATTACAATACAGTGATTGTTTCTGAAATTTGACATTACAATACAATGATTGTTTCTGAAATTTTACATTACAATACAGTGATTGTTTCTGAAATTTGACATTGCAATACAGTGATTATTTTTGAAATTTGACATTACAATACAGTGATTATTTCTGAAATTTGACATTACAATACAGTGATTGTTTCTGAAATTTTACATTGCAATACAGTGATTGTTTCTGAAATTTTACATTGCAATAAAGTGATTGTTTCTGAAATTTGACATGACAATACAGTGAACACTGACCTCTCCGACTATCACCATCGAACTTCGCTATGTGAAGTTCTTATTTAATGTTTTCGATCTCTTTAGCCGATCGTTAAGTCGGATGTAACTTTTTATGTGTCTTAATGCGAGAAAAGTTTCTGGTTAAAAGGGGTGTTGTTTGTGTATTTATTTAGTGTGTTTAACGCCCCTTTTTAGCAGGTTTCTTCCTTGTGGCTGTTATTCCTTGATAGAATATAATGTACATGTATTTTATCAGCTATTTGATGTTGCAGTAAGGGAAATATTCTCGTTCTCGTAATTATTGCTAATATCTTCAGCGTAAAAAAGTAGAGTTATAATTCTACCAGCTTCCTACTATAAGTATTCAATATCTGTAAAAGTTCGGAGGATACAAGAAAAGATGATGTAAGCTTTTAAGGAATTTCATGAATTTACAGGAAGTGACGATCGTGGCGTTCGATGACAAGACCTATGACGAGTTAGCCAAAGAATTGCGTAAGATACTATCGTTTTATCTATTATGATATAGTCCACTAAAGTGAAGTGCTGATACTCGTTCTACGTCTAAATGGATAATATTTCGACAGTTCTGATATTTGTTATAGTGTTCTACACCTCGATAACGGTAATACAGTTTTAAAGATCCCTGTCCCACTGATATTTGTTATAGTGTTCTACACCTCGATAACAGTAATACAGCATTAAAGATCCCTGTCCCACTGATATTAGTTATAGTGTTCTACACTTAGATAACGGTAATACAGCCTTAAAGATCCCTGTCCCACTGATATTTGTTATAGTGTTCTACACCTCGATAACAGTAATACAGCATTAAAGATCCCTGTCCCACCGATATTAGTTATAGTGTTCTACACTTCGATAACGGTAATACAGCATTAAAGATCCCTGTCCCACTGATATTAGTTATAGTGTTCTACACTTCGATAACGGTAATACAGTATTAAAAATCCCCGTCCCACTGATATTTGTTATAATGTTCTACACCTCGATAACGGTAATACAGCATTAAAGATCCCTGTCCCACTGATATTTGTTATAGTGTTCTACACCTCTCGATAACGGTAATACAGCATTAAAGATCCCTGTCCCACTGATATTTGTTATAGTGATATACACCTCGATAACGGTAATACAGCATTAAAGATCCACGTCCCACTGATATTTGCTATAGTGTTCTACACCTCTCGATAACGGTAATACAGCATTAAAGATCCATGTCCCACTGATATTTGCTATAGTGTTCTACACCTCGATAACGGTTATACAGTTTTAAAGATCCATGTCCCACTAATATTTGTTATAGTGTCCTACACCTCGATAACGGTAATACAGTTTTAAAGATCAATGTCCCACTGCATTGTGATTTTTCCTGTTTAGACTAACCTCCCATTAACTTCCGTTTGGATATAACAAGCAAAGTTGAAACAGGACACATTATTATTTATCAAAGCTAAATTATGCCCCAAAAAAGTTACCGTTTTGGCAGTGGTACGGGGATCCTTAGATGATGTTTATCTAACTTGTAAATTCTACTCTCTTTTATAACCATCTATTATAATACAACTAACGTTACACTCTATTCCAATATGTCTTGTTTTTTGAAATAGATAAGGGAACGCACAAAACTAAAACAGCTACTAGTCAGTCACGTGCCTCAAAAGAGACGGTTGGGTGTTCGATAGAGCTGTCGGCATGCGGCAGTCGGAAGGTGAACAGACTTAAAAAAGAGCTTACTGGCGCTATGAAAGCTGAATTCCTGAGTACCAATAATGTGAAAATACCCACTAGCATATCTATACGGACCAAAACAAAACTGTATAATATAGCTGAGGAACATACAAAGACCCCCATGAAGATGGAGTTTGGTAAGTTGTGTATGGGTTTGAATGGTACAAAGCAAATTTTCAACTTATGTGTAGTGTTTAGTAAAAAAAGAAAGAACAGTAAACTTCAATAAAGTGTATCTTAAAGTCCAATAACATGTGCTCATAACGTATATGAAAGAAATCTAATGAGACTTTCATGGTATGGTTTAAACTAACTCGACAAAATAATTGATGTCGTTTACCTGTATTTTTTAAAATTTCAGACCAATCTGGAAAACATGTTGTACTAAAGGGAGAGAAAACACAGGTGTCAAAAACCGCAAAGCATCTGACAAGTATGCTATCAAGTGGAGATTCATCTAAGATTAGAAAGCCTCTGCGGTGTTCTCCATCAAGCTGGTTCAAACTGGCACACGACAGTCCAATCAGTCCTCCGTATTGGACCAAGTTCAAAGCAAACACTCCCCTGACGGTCCTGTCAAAGAACAGCAGGGCAGTAAAGCGATGGTCAGTAGTTCCCGTAGACGCCTCCACCAAGAAGGCGATCGAGAGTCTGGTACAAACCACGTGGGACAATAAGCTGGTTGGACAGGGACGGGACGCGGTCAATCTCAGACACAAACGGATAAAAGTAGACAAGGTTGAGCGCATTGAGAATATTGACGTGTACAATAGATATGCAACAAAACGTCAGGAGCAGTTCAGAATGTTGGCGGAAGAGGGGGCAACAGCTCTAAGATCACTCGAAAACATCCGTGTGCAAACCAAAGGGGCAATCGATACGTCACCTACAAATGGGGCCATACTTTATGATGATATATTTCCGGAGATCAACGAACACTACCTGTTCCATGGAACAAAGCCGGAAATCGTACAGACCGTAATTCAACAGGGATTAGATTGTAGGATGAGCGATGAGAAGGCCATGTTTGGAATGGGGATATATGGTGCTGAAACATCAACAAAGGCGGACCAATACGCTGGTAAGGACGATACCTCTTTTACCTTAGTCTGACATATCTTAATCGAACCATGTGCGACTTATTTAACCCGTGTTATCGAGAGAGACAGCAATCGCGATAGGTTTGAATAGGTTTACTAAGTTAAGACGAACACACATGGGACCTAACATTGACCTACCAAGTTTCCTTACAAGTAAGGTTGATACATGCTTATAAGAATATCAAAAATATATGATATCGTAGGTTGTGTACTAAGTTTTAGTCTTGTCTTCTATGTTTTATAAAAGACGACATATATCTTCGTTTTCACATGTTTTTCGGATCTTATGACATTGAGTGTCTTAACTGAACAGATTTGTACATCAAATTATGATACTGAACAGTCTTAATTTTAAAGCTAACTATAATATGATATAATGCTTTTCAAGGCAAGAATAACTCGTTAATCTCTAAATCCCTGTTACACCTTTATATCACCTGTTGCAGATCATAAACAGCAAAGATCGCCCGGCTCAAAGACAATGCTGCTCGTACGCATGTTGCTGGGCAACATGTTCGTGTGTAAGGACCCAAACCCTACGAAGTACCGCCGACCACCCTGTCGAAGTACCACGTGCCTTAAGGACAAATGCACCTGCGGTCACGGACACTTCGACTCTGTCGTGGGGGATGGGAACTGGCTCTTCCGAGAGTTCGTCGTATATGCTGCAGAGCAATGCTACCCGGAATACCTCATCACTTACCACCGAGAATAATGGGATTTCGAAATGAAATTTGAATCCTGCAAATTTTATCTCGATACCTTGACTACAGAATATAAAGAGATTGAAAGCTGATAAGATTCCTTTTATAAATAACTTTATTGTCTATTTGCGGAAATTATTTGTTTTGCTACTGTATTAATTCTGTTTATCTCTTGGTTTTTACAAACCGTGTTCAAAACCATTATTATCTCGTTTATCGTAAAACAAATACCTTGGATATTAAATCCTCATGCCAGAGACACGAGGGAACATACAGCAAAACTTGTCTTTGACTAAGTGTTTCGTGTTTCTCCTTTATAATCTACTTCCCTCTAATATAATCCTCATAGTCTAGTTACCGTGGATTCAGGGAATACTTGTATGACTTAGGAACGATGCTTTATATTATTTCTTGCGTAAAGCCATGGTAATTCTCTCTTCTAATATAGCATATAAAATGTTAATATTACACGCACCTATATGTTGTGGACGGAGTGAAAAAAACTGCAGATGCAAATGACTAGCAATCTAATATATATATATATATATAGTCTGTTCTTGGCTAAGTGCTGTCACGTACTACTGTTTACTGTATATGTGTCCTGAACTAAATGTCTGAAAAGCAACATCTTATTTATCGAACGGATCTCATCTCGTTAGGTTTGCTGACAATCCTTATCACTCATATGAAGTTATTTCCTCTTTGGTTGAGCAATCCCTTTTGCTAGTATTGCACCATTTTCCTGGATTAAAAGGGCTGGCCACGCGGTGAAGTCCACTGTAGTGCCCCTCGATGTATATTCGCTGAAGTACTGGGACTGGAAGGGCTCCCCCTCTTTCGCCCACTTTAGGACAAGAGGAGGATCCTGAATGTTCATCAGCCACGTGAGGCGGGCACACTGTGTCGCATACTGATAGACGCATGGCTGTGACCTTTTGTCTAGGGTCTTCATCTCCTTGCAGCATTCCTGAAAAAATGTATACGAAATAATCGAAATATGTAACTTTCTGAAAGGTCGATATTGAAATAAAGTTCTTATAAAGTTTTTCATCACAGAACTAACGTGTTTTTTTGTATTTCGTCATGTAATTACACCCATTATGACGTCATATTTAAGACAATCGATATGACGTCATACCATTGAAGGTTGAATAGAAGACAATAGACAGTAAGTGAAAATGGAGACGTTAAAAAGACATGTTCAAGGGCAAAAGCCAGGGGAAACATTTTTCCAAGTAATTCCAGTTGTTTGATTAAAAAAGCAAGATCCTCGTTAAACAAATATTTTCGTAAAACCGAGAATAAATTGAATTTCAGATGAACTTATGTATGATTTTTATGATTGATATTGTAATTATGTACACTGTTCACGTTTGTCAAGACTAAGCTGTTGGCTGTAAATATAAATTTCTGATAATATTTTTTTGTCTTGTAATATATGCTTTAAGTATTGTCCCAAATGTGTCCAGGAAGAAAGAGATAATTAGAAACGTTCAATAAGTTTAATGTCTGTACCGTTGGTGAATTTACCTGTTTGATTTGGGGTATGGACATTTCCACGTTCTCCCTTCTGATCGCATGGACATGAGCCAACAGAGTCCCCGCACTGTCGGCCGCATGTCCACTAAGCTAAAATATACCAAGCTCTGTTATCGTGTGTATACTGTTATAGTAACATGTAGTTATATGTAAGTATAGCATAGCGTCAACACAAATCGAAAACACATTAAAATAGTAGATATAAGACGATAACAGAAGGAGATAAGGATTGTAACGAGGAGGTAATTTTTTATAGTATATATGACTGAAGATCGCTCACTCAGTCATAGCGTGTCAAAGAGACCGACCAGTCGGCCTTGAAACGTTGCGACACCTTAAATACGTACATTGTGTGTGTATAAAGTAAAACTTTGATATTACATATTTCTAAACTGATGAATATTATTGAAGAATTACATATTTTTTCACCGTGAATAACTATCAGAATTTGGTGAAATTTGATCAGAACTAAATATTAATTTTATATTCAAATTAGCCTTTGAAATATTGCTTATTCCAATATGGAAAAATAGGAATCTTCAGAGGGAAAACACATAATTGTTGATTATATTCTAAATATCCATACCTGTAAAGCCCTACCAAAATTGATACTGATGATGTATAATGTTGACATACTGTATATATTTACCTGTGTACTTTGTGGAACTCCAATATTATGTAAACTTGCCATAATTGCCTCTACCATGCTCTTTGCAGACTCTTTTGAAAGCTGCTTTGTAATTTCATATGTTTTCTGAAAGAATAAAACAAAAACATATGTACAGATTCAAACAGAAAAATGTCGATTCTTATGATATCCTCTAAATATTATCAGTTCTCTGACCAACCTATGTATTGGTTATATTTGCAGCATTTGCTTCAAATAATAAAAAATGATAATAATAAGTCAAGTTAACGATTTACAGCTCCATATGGCCATTTTTGCATTTATCACACTTATTTGTCGTAAAGAAGGTGACAAAGACATGACTAGAGATACAGAAAAGGAAGCACCTATTTAAAAAGGAAACAATCTAAGTGAGTCGTTACAAAGAGACAAGCGAGGTAAACAAAAATTTGCTCTGCACCATTTTGACCATTTAGAAATTATCGGTGTTAATCCATGTCTACATTGGTCTGAAGCTGATGGAGGGATACAGTAATAAGGGAAAGGTGCCCAGAAAATCTTTATAACGTTCGGTATTCTTAGTAACAACAGATGATATATGACATCCACTATCTCCAGTTACAAGGGCGCGGCCAACCTCGAGGGTTTGTATGAAACCTCCCCACCCCCGTCACCACCACCACCAAGGAGTTAACCACCTTTTTACCTAAAATAATCACAAGAGTACAGAGAAAGGAATCGCCTATTTTAAAATGTCTAGTGAGCCGATGCAACAGGTCAAGTAAACAGTACTACGCTCGATTATTTTCGCCCATTTAGGACAAATCATCAGTACTAACAGTAAAATAATATGTTTATCTATGTCTAAAAAAAATCGAAACATATGAAGACGTACAGCAATTTTGGAAATGTGTCTATTTATCGCTAGGTGTCTATACAATGCAAAGAAATCATATTAACGGTAACATCGACAAAAGGTAAAGATCAAGTTAAAAATAACTTTGAATTGTGCTGGTCTATTATATCAGGTATAATGCATTCGTACCTTGAGGATGTTGCCAAGTTCCAGCACAGCCTTCTTTTCTGTATTTCTGTCTTTTAATGTTAGCTCCTCGAGAGCGTTCGCCCAGACATCGTTGTACAGTTCACGATGTTGCTCGGCAATACTTGTAGGTCTGTTGGGGTCGCTTAGGTCTGCCAAAGAAGTATTACCAGCCGTCAGCTTGGCACCGACCACACTACTGAGTCTACCGAATAAACATTTAAATGCACTTAGTCATAATAGGCCAATACAATAATAGTTATTTCATATATCGAACTTAAAAGATAAAAAAATGACATTTTTTCTGTTACCTATTTATTGTATCAAATAACAGAATATTTTGGTTAGTTTATGAAAACAAACACGAAATCAATGTTTTATTTAAAAAAAAGTAATGGACGAGGCAACCAAAAGATCTGTTGATACACAGAAAAAAACGTTTGCATATAAGTAGCGAAACGTTAAGTTGTCACACTAGTAAATCGCTTACCGCGAGTTAGAATTAACGTTTGAACATTATCCTCACCCTACTGAAATAAAAGTAACCCTCCCTACCTCGTTCTTAACTCTTGTATCTCTCTTTCCATATCTGCCTTGTTCCTGTCCTGTTCATGTTTTCCTCTGTAAGTAGAAGACTCCGTTGGGTAGTGTCCTTTATGTTCAGATGTAGATGCAACTTTTGGTATTTCTCGTTGTCGTTTACTGTTGCCATATCTAGACAATGTTTCTTGGTCCTGGTGACTTTCATAATGAGAAGATTCTTTGCTGTTGTGGTGATCATGTTCCTTAGAAAAGAATAGATACTCATAAGCATATATATGTATGGTTTAATTGTATTATACAATGAATCATGTATGTAGTTATCGAGTTATATTGCTGACTCACGAAACCTAAAACGAGGCATATTAGTGAGTAGACTGCAGTAACATAAGGTTTATGTCAATAACATGATAATTTCCTTGAGAAAGATTGGTAAACTACCCTAGTTTCGATTGGATAGGTGACAAGTCAAAGCCAATCGTAAATATATATAAAGTTGTTACGTTAAACTGTTATCTTTGGTACACAATTTATAGTCAAATGTCAAGCTATTCCAAGAAATAAATGTTGACGTATTTAGCTAACAGAATGTCCTCACGTGAGAGTCTGTAGTTAGTTGATACTTTTGGCTATACCAAATTGACATGCTATTTAAAGAACATTAAAACACTGCCTATCTCGACTTGTCACATACTATCCTAAATGTCAAGACCTAAATCTATCGAAGAATTCAAGACATCAATTGCATCATTGCAATTCAAACCCTTTAGATGAAATATCGCATGAACCACCCCACTAAAATCCTATTCATAACCACTGGAATGAAATTGTTCCTTAGTGTATAAGTCGAAATCCATATTATCTAATTCAAAACCACTGGAATAAAATTGTTCCTTCTCAATACAAGTATCTATATTAAGTTAAAATATTTTTCTGAACAGCATTGTTTATAGTCAACTTTGACGACAGGTTTCTATACTTCTGTCGGTAGATAGTTTATTGTCAATCCTGCAGAATGGAGGTTTCTTGTCATCTTTATCTTACTCGACTTAACTACTTGTAATGTTTTACTTATATGAGAAAAAAATAACAAAGCAGAGGTTTGATATATAACAGCGAATAGTGACAATGACCATGGTTATTTTTCTCTTTGAATACTTATTATCAAAGTATCCAATAAATGTGCATCATACCATCATAACACCAAACAATCAAAGCCATTTCAGGTTTTTTCATTCATGAACATGACGTGTCTACCGAATGCGGTATAGGTTTGCTACATTTTTCAGAAATGAAACATTTCGGCCATGTTGGTATAAAAATAACGCTTTTCGAAAATATAAAATTGACCTGGTTTTGTAAGAGAGAAGCAAGTTGTCTGTATTCCTCCAGTGCTCTGCTTACGGCAGTGGAATCCAGGCCTTGAGCATTCCCTCTTTCGGCAGAATGTAAAATACTTCGAATGGCAGATACCTTTAAAAATAAACACACCACTTTCACCTATACTATACGTATACGGCATAACTGTTCTCTATATGAGTATCTGTTGTGTGTTCCGAGAAGAAATAGACAAAGAATCAATGTTCTTATAAGTATTCAAGTGTTGCTATATTTGATATGTATATTTTCATTCAAATACAGCTTTTTTCATTCGATACCACAAGCTGTTTGAATTCAGAAATAATACAAATAAGTGCTCGCATTGAAGTTGAATATATAGTATATGTACCAGTATAAAAAAAAATGAGAAAAAAAAAATTCCGCAATAATTCCGAGTTATAAGTTCAATCATGATATGTTTATTATGCATTATATCACCTCAAATTTAACGAAGGCGTTTTACTTGACATAAAGCGCAGTAACATAGATCCATGTAACAGAGGGTTACAGTTTGGAACAGCGTAGCATGTAAGGTATTTCTATTTCACGTGCAAAGTCTATTTTTCGTGATTTTGATCTGTAAAGAAAACGTCATTACATCAGACATTTTATTGAATCTTAATTAAAAAAAAAAATCGGAAGGAATAATATGCATTTAAAAGGAGAAGATATTTTGAAAAGTATGTAGAGTTTGATAATAGAAATCTAATCCAATGTTTCTGAAAATCATTTACGCTTTTTTAATATATTTGAAATACTTACATCAATGTGCTCTTTACCCACGTGTGATTCAAGCATTAGAAGACATTCTTTAATTGTTTGACATTTTGGTTTACTAAAGTCAGATTGCAAGTAAGATCCGGAGTTAAGTTTTTGAAGAAAGTCGTTCAGGTCTCGAAACCCACTTGACACGCTGGTATCCATTTATGTAAGTTAAAACTCCGTCCTGTAATCAAATGTTCGAATCAGAGTTCCTACATACACTTCAGACTTTGACATTCTACCAGCCCGATCAATCGTTCACCAGATACAGACATTGAAAGTAACTGAAAAATGCATTAAACGTTCTTCATCGAAATCAAAAATATTGAAATTGGTATCTTCAAAGCCTAATTTGTTTAATTGATCAATCCACATATCAATACTACCAAAGAAGCACTTATTTTGGAATACATAATCAAGTCCAAACTAATCTATATAAAAAAAAATAGGAAATGGAATTTATCATTTTTTTTAAATTTCCCATCATACATTACGGTTATCCCTTGAGAGCCTCTATGTATATACTTACCAATATTATTTTACTTCCTGGTGTTGCACTAACAAATGCTTATTCGGTAGAACTAATATCTAAACACACCCTACACAGATATACTCTATATACACACTATAAGTATTATACATTTAATATGAAAGCAACCTCTTTTTGTACTTAAAAGTTATATTTACCGGTAGTCGATGTGTCAAGGTTTGCCTACCTTCTTTACGTTGTAGCGCTATTCCACATGCTGGTATTTGTCCACCGTGTATAAGACAGGCATATGTGCACATGTGTACAATTTTGTATATCGTAGCCGAGAACCGAGTTGTTTATTTCTATGGTGCTTTTCTCGGAAGCGACTTATCGCTTACCTGGAATTCTAGATAGGCGTGATTTTATGATCAGTTTTAGAGTGTACATGTATAATACACTGAATGGATTGCATTACAAGGGTATGCGGCGATTGTATCTATTCGTAATTGACACGTCTAGATGCACCAGGTCGTGTGGCTGTTGTTATGCTCCACCTTTTGGTGAATTGTGAGTTATTAATCACTATTCACGTTTCTTGTTGTATATATGTTATATCATTTCAACTCCGTCATTTTAATAAAAAAAAATGACAAACAATTGGAAACAATGTTTTTGTTGGTTTATGATTAGCAATTACAAGAAGCAAAACTAGCTGCGTTGCGATCTGTCAAAAGTATTAGTTGGAGACCACATAAATGTTAAATACTAAAAGAGGGTCAGATTGACTTCAGTATTTAACAAATGCTTTTGTCTGCACTGTCGTTACTAGTTTTTGTTTATATATCGTTTTTAGTAACGCGTTTCCAACAAACTGTTTTTGTCGTATCCAGTGTCAATATTGGATCATACTATCGTTATATATATGTAATTATTACTTATGAGACCTATATATACAATGTGTAAATATCTGTATTTTTAAAATGGGTAGTTAAGCTGTATATTCAAATCGTAGAATATAATAGATGATGATATATAGATTGATATAATACAAGGTCATTTGGCCTGTCTATATTTCTCAATGTCAAAGTCTGGTTAATTTCATCAGTTTGTGACATTGTCTCCGTTGATTGTATTTCTCTAGCAAAACGTCTCGTTAAATAAATAAAACTTGTATACGTTGTTATGAAATGTGAATTTTTCATACACAAAATCCTTGTTTACAAGCTGTCATTGAATACGATGTTTCATGTACAATGCTTGGTTCAATTATTTTCCCTTCCTTTTCTTATGTAAAAAATATGTATATTCTGCAATAAGTAGGATTTATTACATTTAAAGTATGTATACCTTTACATAAAGAGGTTCTATCCGACAAGACATAGTTTGGTTCAAGGTACATTTGTATGTCTACCTCGTCATAATGAGGTTTGATTACATGAATTTTATGGATACCTCTATATATCTAGGTTATATCCCGACATAATATGTATAATATGTATATCTCCATATAACAAGGTTCTAACCGTACATAAATTAGTTTGGTCATAGGTATATTTGTATTTTCACCTCGGCATATCGAGGTTTGATTACGTGTATGGTATATATACCTCTATATAACGAGATTCTAACCTGACAAAACATAGTTTTCTTTTGTGTATATTTGTATGTATAACTATATATAACGAGGTTTTGTTGTAGATATATATTTCTCGACATTAAGAAGCTTGGTTACAAGGATATATATGCATGTATTCCTCAGTATATGAAAGTCAGTTTATGAAATGTGTAACATGTGAAATTTGGTTATATGTTTCTATATCTCAACATAACGGCTATGTCGATATATTCAGGTCTGGTTATAGGTTATAGTCGACATATGGACATTTGATTATTGGTATGGATACCTCGTTATATGGAGATTAGGTTATAGGTTAACATTTTTATTTATTCTCAGAACTCGATTTCTAAATATCAAATAACTCAATGTCAATGTCACTGACTTCAAAGGAAAAGGAAATCTCTTTGATACTGTTAGGTTGTATTCTTAACCTTCTATTGTCTTTAACTTCAACAAAGTTATCATGAAGTCGCCAACAAATAATATAACAACATCTGTTATTAATTGAATACATTTATTTCATATTGCTTTTCTTTCGTTACACACCAATTCCTTTAATATGTGTATCAGAGTTGAATTAAACGGCGATCATCAAGTATTCAATAAATAAAAGTATATTTTAACAACTCCTGGTTATGAAAATATATCACAATATCGCAGTCACTACTAATTCGTTTTAATTGTTAAGAGAATATCGAAACTAATTTGATAATATATCAGCGAAAATATTCAAACAAACTTAACTATCAAGATGCACGGCTAATTGGACTAAAAAACAGATATATACGAAGATCATACAAAAATGAAAAACGGAAAAAATGTAAACTATTTAAAATTTCAATCTCAAATATTTCACTCTATCGAATTAATGTATTAGATACATGGCTTGTGGTCTGTCATGATGAAGTAAAAATGGAGCAACTTATGTTTTGCGACCATTACATTTAATCTCGGCTATCCATTAATGAGTGTACTCGATTATTCGACTCTATATCATAAAGTAGTATTTCATTTCAAGAATTCTATCCAAATATATAGAAACTTAATCTTTTGGATATAAACGTGCTGGCTGACACTCTATAATAACAAACTGTGCTGTCTTCAATGCTTCTCTCAAACATATGGCATTTGTTAACTCGAAATCGAACAGTTATTTCACAGCATGAAAAAGACTTGGACAGTTGTTTGAATGTTTTGATTTCAAATCTGTTTCATTATTTACGGTCAATAGATTACATCATACATATGCCTATCTATTCAATTTCACTAATAGCGTCATCAGTTACTCCAAAAGCGATCAATAACAAAACTATTGTAACATCACAGACACGTCGAATAGTACAATTACAACAGTTTTATTTTGTTGTCCACTTAAGGATTTCTCTTCAGGAAGAGTCGTTGCATAGGAATCGGATTAATGTATTGAAGAGTATACTCGCTCTTCCGGTACAATTTCTATATAATAAAGACGTATTTCCGTTTTAGGAATATCATGTTTTATATTTAATTAAGCATACATACTTTTATTGATTGTTACAACAAAATGTCCTCAACTAAGAGGGCTTTCAATCAATATGCAACATTCATTCAATATTTACAGACCATAGATACAGATTTATACTTATAGGAGACACTCATTTAGTATATTTTAATTTACAATACTATATATATCGACATACATTGTACATTAACAACCTATCAAATCAATTAATGATCTTCCATCTTTATCATCGCCATAATTAATTGATATTTTGTTAGTTGATTTACTTATTTATTAATGTACTGTTTTTATCCGGATTTTCTTCCTACTCCCAGTTTTCCGAAATTTTACCTGTTTTATATCTAAAATTTCGTTTTTTTGGGATTTGTAATATGTTAATTTGTTAATATTAAACAACGTCATCTTTCACGCCGCGAAACGAAGAACGAAATATGACACAAAAATAACTTGTATTTGTAATTTAAAAAATATAAAACAACAAAATCAATAAACAAAAAAGACATCATCCAATTATATGGCAAATCAAGATATATATGCTTTCTCCGATTCACACAGTCATTCCATGGTAGGACCAATGAACATATGATAACACTCTTTTATAAGCTCTAACATACAATGTACAACTGTTTACCACGATATACACATGATTGAGGAATGTATGTGTATAACATCTGTAATAAATGTCTGGGACAACTGTTTTAAAATTCTGATTTCAAATCGTTTTAATAGTTACGTTCGACTTGTTATATCATACATCTGTCATTTTTCAACTCCACTAGTACAATTGCGTTGTAGTCATCAGGTACCTCATAGGATTTCCTTAGTGATTGATTCGTTAATTACTTCACAGATAAGTCTATTTGTGAAATCAAAGCAACTCTACTTTGCTTTCTTTTTCTGCGCTTGTTCTGGTGGAGGAGGGGTCATTCCCATGATATAGCCCTTGCTGACAATACCACCATGAGCACTCAAAAACACGGCCGGCCACACACATTGCCTCACCATTTTACCCTTTGACTGGTAGAACTTGAAGTAATTAGTATCACTTCTTTCACCATGGTCAGCCCATTTGATCTCCATGGGAGGGTCCTGTACAGCCATAAGCCACATCAGCTCCACACAGCGGTCAATGTATTTCATCATAGCGTCCGGCAGTGTCGCTGATGTGTCCAACTTCATTTTTTTGATGTATTGGTCTTTGAAAAGCTGAAGCAGCAAAATATTTTGTCCTCATCAGCCTTTTTGTATGATAAATTAATATAAATAATTTGCTGATTCTGAACTTTCAAAGAAATTGTAAAATGTATAGTGGTATTTAGTAACTCGTAACCTAGCGTTTAAAGGAATACTACTATTCCTGACATTCATCAGGTAGATAATCTAACTACGTTTCAAATGTGTTGCCTCTGGGCAGCTTTTCCCTGTTAACTCTAAGCTATTTCCTCTGATATCATTCAAAGGCAATTGTAGGTTGCTGAGCTTTTTAAAGAAATGACAACAGTTTGAATTGTTCCCCGCTGTATAATGAATGGTCGCAGGGATCGAACTTCCGTGGAGGTTCAGATATTTTATATGTTAGTCTTTGCTATAGTAAATAGGCAAGCTACTCGACGCTACGAAAATGACGAAAAAATTAAATATGTCTTTGCTGAAGAAACGACATAGAATGATAGGACTCTACCATAAGTAAGACAATCGTGAATCGTAGTACAATGCACAAGAAATACTTCAGCTATACGTGAATATACTTTACTTGTTTGATCTCTGTAACGGCGGTCAAGGCTGTTTCTTTCCGGAAGCTGCGTGCGCACCTCAAGGCTATTTGCCAAGTCTCTGACATAGGAGACTTCCCCCTAGCTTCTGCCGTTTCTCCCTTCTGCAATAAAACTTCATTATCAGAGCCCGTCTGAATGAGATATAAAGCGCATTTAACCAAGTTATACATAAACAATTTCAGCAATTATATCATTTCATACGGTTTATACATAATTTGTTTGGAACGGATACATATTGTACATATAATCGTACCTTTTCTCCAACAGGCGGGGTAGCAGGCTTTGCTGTATTTAGTGATCCTGCTAATGTAGAACTTTTTCCCCCAGATAGACCAGCGGCTACTCCAGATTTTTGTTCAGACTGACCACCAGCTGCTCCAGATTTTTGTTCAGACTGACAACCAGATGCTCCAGGTTTTTGTCCAGGCCGACCGCCGACTGATCCAGGTTTTTGTTCAGACTGACCACCAGCTGCTCCAGGTTTTTGTCCAGGCTGACCGCCGTCTGATCCAATCTTTGGTTTAGATTGACCACTTGCTGTATCTGTACTTTCAGTTCCAGATTTAATATCTACTCCTGACATTTTTTTAGTGTCTTGTTTCTGTTTTAATTCAGTTGATTGTTCCAGTTTGGAGTCTATTGCAGCAACTTGTTCTGCCGTTTGTTGTAGAGAAACTGCATCTTTCATACCCATGGCAATTTTTTGTAGCTGTTTGTCAGCCTCTGTTCCACAAAACCGATACGACTCCTAAAACAAACAAAGCTTTATTCGGTATTTGGGGAAAAGTTGTCGTACTTATCTAAATAAAATCATTCTGGTTTATAATTAATAATATGGTGTTTATTCATACTTTAAGAGTTATACTAAGATGAAATCACACCTACCTTGACAACATCCAACAACTTATCAATTTGTTTCATCTCTTCTTCCTCGTCCTCCTCCTCGCTTGCAGCTTTTTTTTTACCCTTACCCATCTCCTCGAAGGCCTCTGACCATTGGTCATCGTACATGGCGGCAAAGTGTTCCCCGAGCTTGGTCGGCCGGTTCTTGTCACTCAGGTCAGCAATGTTAGGGTTACCCTCCTTTAGCTTGCTACTAGCGATGGCACTTAACCTAAACAAGTAGATGAGACAAATATTTCAGGAATGAATGATATGCTGCTTTTTGTTTTGTTTTAGTTTGAGATATTAAAAGCGATATGACAAACAACTTTCAAAATATTCATTTATTTTGGAATTGAAAATTAACAGTTGTTGCTCATTACATTAATATCATGTACTGAAATGTATATGCTATACAAATCATGTGCTTGGATCACTTTCCACTAAACATGATTATCTCAAAATCTAACTTTCAATTCACTTGACCACCAGCCTAACTTCATTGAATCACATTATCAAGAAAATAAATATTCTTTATTTAAACAGTGTAATTCAATATAAATATTCTAGTCATCAAAGTAACACAGTGTACTTACCTGCTTGTAAGCTCTTCAATGCTTTCTCTTTGATTCACAAGATCGTACTGCATGTGTTCGTAATCTTCGGATTTAACTAGCTGGTATCCGTCAGGTATTATCACTCTGAATCTGTCTGGATCTCTCCGATGCTCTCCTCTTTTGGCCTGGTCCAATTCAGTTGGTGTTGGCTCACTATCATCTTGTTTTACTTCCTTTGTTTTTCCGTTCCCGTCGTGCAGCTGTTTTTGAGGATTGTCTTTCTTTTCTGCTGGATTCGCTGATTGTTTTCCTACATCAACATGTGTCACGTGTCCTCCCGGTCGTTGCTCCGGTAACACAGAACTCTATTTATTTAAGTATAAGTAAGTTTATCACATATTGTACTGTGTTATCTAGTGAATATACCATGCCATATTTCTTTGCGTATTAACCCATGTATGACCTATCAGCCCTGTGATTGGTTGTGAGTTTCAATTGTCTCAATTGTGACGTCACGCATAGGACCAAGAAAATGACTTCACAGACCTACACACTGGAGTCAAAATGGCAGCTTTTTTTTTTTACATTTCAAGGTTGCATGAAAATTGTGGTTTTACACGATTAATGCCACAAATCTTGATTATGTGATAAAAAGAATCCTACACTCGTTTTCATTTCATATATCTCATATGAAATGGAAACTTACGTAAGATCCTTTATGTATATTAAGATATTTACGCGAAATATCTTCAATGTGCCTTCACATAACAAAACATAAACAAAGTCATACGTTTTGTAAGAATTAAAAAAAAGGGGTAAAAATAGAAAATAAAGAAAATAAATAAATCTGTAACTTTCCTTTAAATTAGTATATGTTAGTTACATGTCTGCTTCTATGGATGGAAATGTATAATCTTATTGTTTTGTGTGATCCACTAAACATAGCTATATAATGTTATTGTCGCTTATCAACTACCAACAATGAGGATGGATACATAACTATTGCTTTATGTCAGATATTTCACGAGAGAATATATATGTTTCAATTGATCTATTCTGTTACTGTTACACGTCTGTTAGTATAAGAAAAGGTATACATTGTTATGTTTACATGTACAATGTACCTTCCTTTTCTATAAATGAGGTTATATGTTATGCTAGATTTCTGCTACTATAAGAAAGTAAGAAAGAATATATGTTATGATGTAATTGTAATATATGTGTTACTACATGTATAAACGAGAATAGTTATTTTATTGTGATATTTGGTATAGATATGCCTGCTGCAGTAACATAAGTCATACATTCCTCAGTAATATCAACTATTACATTGCGTTACTTTAGTCATTCAACTTTGATATCAAAGTAACTAAAGTATCTTTTTTGTGTGGATTTATATTTATAAGTACTCGCGTATATCGGATTTTAGTGCAAATCTCACCTGAAGATGTTCCACCAATTGTTTTCTGAATGCAAATTCTTTTAATGCATTAGTGGATTGCTGGGGATGTTTTTTTTTTAATTGCAAAAGAGAATTATACAACGACCCTGACAATTCCGCCTGTCCGATCTTGTCACATTCTTCCATCATCATGTCGTTGTTTTCCTGCCATGATTTCCTCTTCTGTAAAGTAAAAACAGTTCACTAAATGAGTCAATGTTTTCGTCTAACAACCTTTGGTATTTTACCTCTCTATTGTCGTTTTCCTGAATGACAGGAATAACAATAACTTTATTCATAATTTTGTGATATGCAACGGAAGTTAATGAAATTGAAACTAAAATAATCTTAAAATGCTGATAATAAAATTATGTTTTTAATAACCATTCATAAGACGGTTATCCGTTTACAAAAATTACAGATCTATGTATTTTATAAGAAAGGATGCGTCTTTGTACTTTACATTATTTCGGTGTCAATATTAAGACTCTGTTTTCTTTGATATGTCATTATATATAAAAATAATTCCTTTATATCCTTGCCATCTGTATCATACCTCGGATGATATTTGTTCTTCCAAATTCCTCTGTTGTTTCAACAATGCCTGATACTCTTTCATCGCATCTTCGTTATTGTCTAGCAAGCCGAGAGCATCCATTACACCAGTGATAGTTTTACCCAAGTCCAAATCTTTTGGATTGAGCTGGCTGTCACTTGTCACCCTAATTTCAGGATTGTGAGATTTCTTCGCTTTCTCTACCTCAGAAGGTGCCTTATCAGTAGGTGTTCGAACATCGGTATGTTCTGTTTTTATAGGCTTTGTGTCCGGCTCAGTCTTTGCATGATCAGGTTCCTTTTTGTTGGTGCCATCATTAGGTTGGCTAGGCGGTTGTGGTGAACCTTCTGTCCTGGCGTCCGCCGTAGAAGGCTGGCATTGGGTAACTGAAATCACTGAATTGGCCTTTGCTTGATCAGCTGTCGTTTTCTTATGCTGCTCTCCTTTTGTAGTAGGCTGTGATGCGGTACCTTCTACCACTAAATCAGACTTTGTTTCTTTGTGTTGATTTCTCTTAAGAGCTGGTGACTGACAGTGTGGAGCTGCAGGTGCAGTTTTCTTGGTAGTAGTGTTGGCTTTATTTTTGCCTGACATTTCTGATGATATGAAATGAAATATCAATTATCATCACGACTAAGATTTAATGCCTTTTGCATTATACTTCATGAAAACTTAATAAAACAGATTAGTTAGGCACGTATATTGTTACAAATCTACCGAATTGTTTCATATTTTTATGAAATATCGGAGGCTGCTAAGATGCAGATAAGCCTAGTGCATAGTAATGAGATTGAGTATAAGATGATATTATTGTGACAACTAGAAAAGACATGTTGGATCAGGCACAATCAATGGTATTTGAGTAGACCTGGATAATAAATAAGGCTTAAGGGCCAGATCAGAGTTATGATGTCATAATATATACAGGTGATAGACAAATGACAGTTGTCGTCTGTAACAGCAAGGCATATCTACGGTGAAATTTGTTTTCAAATTCACACAGATTAAGAAAGAGACTTCTGTTTATTGTAATTTGCATGAACAGCCTTTCTTGCAAAACAAAGTACATTGTAGTAGGCTAAGGATTCTCGAAATCTATAAAATTTCGCACGTACAGATTTTTTTCTTTTCATTTATCTAATCACGACAGTGTTACCAATTGTGGCAATTTTGAACATATCTCTGAATTTTACTATTTTTAATAAAACAAATATATTTATATCTTATCAGATCCGATAGACTAGCATAGACATAAACAGTAAAATATTTGGTATCACTATTGACCTTATGGATAAAGACAGACGTAAACAAATGAGACCAACATGAAAAAGTGGATCATATTAAAATACAAATATGTATAGAGTAAGAACTGATCATAAGAATCGAATGAAACTTGTGGCCTTAATAAAACACGGAGACAACATCACATATATGGAGTCAACCATCACCAATGGAGTTAGATCAGACTAGTTTGAGGTTGATTAAATATGTATGACACAAACAAGGCGATACCAATAGGGCCTAAACAGACTGATATGACCCGACTATAAATATAGTATCAGAATATGGAATAAGTAGAAAAAAAGAATCAGGACAACATATGATATCAAACCTCTTTGTCACGAAACAGTCTTGGACTAAAGTCGAATGTTTAAAAGAAGATAAAGTCCATATTTTTCTTTTGAGACTAAATTCAGGGAAACATTCCATTTATTTACATTTATGGAAAGTTTATTTGATATGGAACTAAAACATAAGGTGATATTTGGACTGAGTCTACAAATATTCATCTTCCTGGGACTTGATTAGATTAAAAATAAAAGAGAGGATCAGGCGGAAGTTCTTTTTTTTTTATATTTCTTATTGTACAACAACATAATCAAAAAGAGAGATTTTGATAAACCGTTAATTTAAACATATATGTAAGGGAGCATAGATTATTTCAACAATTTGAATTATTTACAGGTATAAACAGACACGCAGATGTGTATATAGGTACTGGGACATAAAGGGATTGAATGGATTTTTGTCCCAGTACATTGCGGCAAAGAATAGCAGTAGCTGATAGACCTATCAACGCACTCCTCAGAAGATATTATTATTTCTCGCAACTACTTTATCTCGGAGAAGGGAAGATAACTCTTCTCAATCATGGTCTAATGGCAGTTGTTTTCAGTTGGTAAATTCATGTACAGAACCAACATCAAGAATGTAAATATATGCCAATAACACACAGACTATTTTTTAGATAAAGCATACTGAGATTTCTTATATATATAACTACGTTGACTTCTCGTGTTCAATTACTGAAAAGTGGTCATTATTTTTAATAATACATGTATATTTATAACTGTCTCTTAAAACGCAGTTATTTGAACATATTTGAACAATCTAACTTTTCCAAGTAGCTTCAACGGACGTATGCCTTATTCGATGTATGAACGTGTAATAGAGGTATATGTCCTAATTGATACATCCTGTGATGTTTCCGCACACAACATGACGCATGAAGCACTATGTATTACCACGAATTTAGTAACACGCATGAAGCATTTCACATAACGGATTTTTCATAAAGTATATCGTACCGGTTTTCCATAGCTACATGTACCCGAACCACCACCTCCACGCTCACTAAAATGTAAGTCTCCAATGCAGAGATGTTATACTCACATGTGTATCAAATACAATTACAACAGGTGAATTGTTTGCATTAGATAAATGTAAATTCGGAGTATCTCCGCATTTCTTTTGTTATTTGTAAATACTGTTTAAAAACATAAAATATGCGCTTGACGATGCTTCGTTGTATTTCAGATACTAAGTTTGTGGTTTCCAATCCAGACCTTCTTTTCTTAAATGGTTCCACTGCTTCTGACAGTGTTTGATAAAGACTAAACTCGTTTTGATGTTAATTTTCAAATATCGATGGCGAGTATGGACCCATGCAATGATTACGCCATTAACAATAGCACAGATACATCGAGGTCCTGTTCGAAATTAAAATCAACTTCGATGTTCTAGTCGAACAATGCGGAGATATCACCAAATATAGATAGAAAACATAATTAACCTTATATTTTCCCCAGCATTAATGGAACACATTTTACACAGAGAAAGTGTGGCTAGGATCATCTATTTATGTGTGCATGTTTGTTTGCACGGTGGACCAAGTTTCTGTCAGAATTAAGCTTACTAATTTAATTTAAATGTGAATTTTTTAAATGAAATATATTTGTAAAAATATTATATTTCACAGCTGCCATCGTCTGTTTTGTTGTGTATCTCCATAGCACAAACATCGCCATATACTAGCACAGCTGTACATAGCTGTGATTATATATATATCGTTGACCTGTTGACCCAAAGTATATTATTTGTTTATCAAATGTCTCTATCATTACACAGAACTTTAAAAATGGACTTGACTATATGTTTAAGTGTCTTTCAAATTATTTTTTAAAGAAAATCATCAAGCGCATTAAAATTAAGGAATGTTCCTTCCATTAATACACGTATGCGTAACTTAATTATATGTAAGTGTCTACGTCATCAGTTTGTACACGTACGGAAAACGAAAGTACAATCAAAAATATTGTTTTTAATGATAAACTATGTTGCTTTTGATATTGAAATGGTATATAAAGGGTGTTAGTAATTAATGCAAAACAAACATTATCTTTACATATTGAGGAAAACCACTTAAAACTGTAATTTTGTTTGCACTTTCGTTTCAGGTTATTCTAATAGGGCGTAAGTATAGAGAAGTGTGTTAACAAGAAATTAGACTATGTGTTGTTCAAAATATTACAAAGATAAAGTTATGTAGTATATTACCTGCTGGTTTATGACAGGGACGCAGTACTCGGTAAATATTTCTTAAATCAGGAAAACTTCGGTGCTGTCAAACCCATGGACTGTTACCCGGAAGGTGTATTCAAACTTAACTTGAGTCTGGCGATCGATAATACCGCTCGGTGATTATGTAGGTCACACAGACGTTGTTAACACACGTAGGTAGTCAGCTTACACATGTGTGTACGAGACGGTAGATAGCATGCCACAAAAGCAGTAGGCGGAGTGATATTCATTTAAAAAATAACAAAACCATTACATGAAATGTCGTGAATGCTTGTTCAATAGCACATAAACGACATAAAATAGATATAAATATCCTCATTTTTTCTTATCGTTATATCATTCGGGTCCAAAGTTACGTTCAGAGTAGCGGCATATTATGGTGATTATATGGTGATAGTCCTCAGTTAGCTAAACATTTCACTGCTTTCTTTTTCGCTTTTCTGCCTTTAATAGAGTTGAACATGAGGCTTTTAACGTACGGGGAGTGTATCCCTACACGTGTCGGAGTATCAGACGGAAAGCAATCATTGGGTGGGATCAATGTCCAATAAAATAGTAATGATGAAACGATCATTCTGTTCACAAAATGTAACGTTTCATGATACAACGGTCAAACTTGCATGAGTCCATAATACACACTTGATTAATTATGTTCACCCATCAATTGTTCCACGCTTTCTTATGATGGTCTTGACATAGCGTTATAGGCATAGCCTCAACATATTGGAACCATAGGGATATTTTTATTTCTTCATTGTACATTTGAGTAACATTTGAAAAATACATGAATTACTTTTAAGCATGAAATATATCATATCTTAAAATAGTAATGAAACAATATGGACTTAATCTTTTGTGTGCACTGAAGATTGGAACGCTCGTCTCTGTTCAGCGACTGATCACACAAAGTCACAGGAGTATTTAATTAGTGCACAAAATCACGATGTGTACGTACAGTAATTATGGGTTAATCCATACAAATGTTACTATTAGTTAATAAACCCTGTAAATCATCAAAATAAAGCCGGGACAAATATTTTCTGTAACCTCAAATGATAATAAACAGGAGGTTAAGTGTTAAGGAGCAAACGGTTTTTTATTCGTACAATATGATCTTGCACTCCAATCAGAAAAACCGTTTGTAATAGCTATAGAAACAATTTGGTATCATATTAGCACTCTCTTTTTGTATACATTCTCATCAGTACACGTACACGTACGTACATGTACGTGCCCTAGATACGGGCACATGTTTTGCATGATATATTGTCTTTCTTATCTACATAGTTCAGGTTTTGTAAAATTATAACATAACAAAACTATGACCAGTAAGGGGATGCCCTTAAATACAGCCACAGAGATCTGCGAAAAACTTTGAAACTATGAAATGGCGTGTGTTTTTGGAGGAAACAGAGTTCATGTTCGCGGAAGGTGAACACATTTTACGTGCATATAGGAGTTATCCATATTTCCAACGGTACTAACCATTTTCCCATATTCAACTAGAAATGTTGTTTTTGATTATTAGGTGGGGTCGACATTTCGACATCGAGAGCTTTCCTCCCTTATAGAGTAGTATAATGTTCATCATTATATAGAGTAGTACAATATATATGTATATTTATAAACTACTTTTTATCAAGAAGAGTTTCACCAGATATCTGACTTGTGAAAACCATGGTAACAACATCGAAAATCGCCAAATAAAACCAAACATGATTTTAAACCAAACCTGATCCCCCAGAAAGAGTATTTTTTCTTAAAACACCTGTCTTAAATTGAATAACATCAACTTGGTAGAACAACGTTTTATCATAGGTCAATCCGATGGAATTTTTACGAAATTTACACATGTGCTGAGTACAAAAATNTAAATGGCCAAAAACGTAGTCTCAAACCAAATTTGATTCTTTTATTTTTTGAATGTGAAGCCCACATAGTCAACTTCATCATGTATATGCCAATTTAAGTGCTGNTTTTTTTTACATTTCAAGGTTGCATGAAAATTGTGGTTTTACACGATTAATGCCACAAATCTTGATTATGTGATAAAAAGAATCCTACACTCGTTTTCATTTCATATATCTCATATGAAATGGAAACTTACGTAAGATCCTTTATGTATATTAAGATATTTACGCGAAATATCTTCAATGTGCCTTCACATAACAAAACATAAACAAAGTCATACGTTTTGTAAGAATTAAAAAAAAGGGGTAAAAATAGAAAATAAAGAAAATAAATAAATCTGTAACTTTCCTTTAAATTAGTATATGTTAGTTACATGTCTGCTTCTATGGATGGAAATGTATAATCTTATTGTTTTGTGTGATCCACTAAACATAGCTATATAATGTTATTGTCGCTTATCAACTACCAACAATGAGGATGGATACATAACTATTGCTTTATGTCAGATATTTCACGAGAGAATATATATGTTTCAATTGATCTATTCTGTTACTGTTACACGTCTGTTAGTATAAGAAAAGGTATACATTGTTATGTTTACATGTACAATGTACCTTCCTTTTCTATAAATGAGGTTATATGTTATGCTAGATTTCTGCTACTATAAGAAAGTAAGAAAGAATATATGTTATGATGTAATTGTAATATATGTGTTACTACATGTATAAACGAGAATAGTTATTTTATTGTGATATTTGGTATAGATATGCCTGCTGCAGTAACATAAGTCATACATTCCTCAGTAATATCAACTATTACATTGCGTTACTTTAGTCATTCAACTTTGATATCAAAGTAACTAAAGTATCTTTTTTGTGTGGATTTATATTTATAAGTACTCGCGTATATCGGATTTTAGTGCAAATCTCACCTGAAGATGTTCCACCAATTGTTTTCTGAATGCAAATTCTTTTAATGCATTAGTGGATTGCTGGGGATGTTTTTTTTTTAATTGCAAAAGAGAATTATACAACGACCCTGACAATTCCGCCTGTCCGATCTTGTCACATTCTTCCATCATCATGTCGTTGTTTTCCTGCCATGATTTCCTCTTCTGTAAAGTAAAAACAGTTCACTAAATGAGTCAATGTTTTCGTCTAACAACCTTTGGTATTTTACCTCTCTATTGTCGTTTTCCTGAATGACAGGAATAACAATAACTTTATTCATAATTTTGTGATATGCAACGGAAGTTAATGAAATTGAAACTAAAATAATCTTAAAATGCTGATAATAAAATTATGTTTTTAATAACCATTCATAAGACGGTTATCCGTTTACAAAAATTACAGATCTATGTATTTTATAAGAAAGGATGCGTCTTTGTACTTTACATTATTTCGGTGTCAATATTAAGACTCTGTTTTCTTTGATATGTCATTATATATAAAAATAATTCCTTTATATCCTTGCCATCTGTATCATACCTCGGATGATATTTGTTCTTCCAAATTCCTCTGTTGTTTCAACAATGCCTGATACTCTTTCATCGCATCTTCGTTATTGTCTAGCAAGCCGAGAGCATCCATTACACCAGTGATAGTTTTACCCAAGTCCAAATCTTTTGGATTGAGCTGGCTGTCACTTGTCACCCTAATTTCAGGATTGTGAGATTTCTTCGCTTTCTCTACCTCAGAAGGTGCCTTATCAGTAGGTGTTCGAACATCGGTATGTTCTGTTTTTATAGGCTTTGTGTCCGGCTCAGTCTTTGCATGATCAGGTTCCTTTTTGTTGGTGCCATCATTAGGTTGGCTAGGCGGTTGTGGTGAACCTTCTGTCCTGGCGTCCGCCGTAGAAGGCTGGCATTGGGTAACTGAAATCACTGAATTGGCCTTTGCTTGATCAGCTGTCGTTTTCTTATGCTGCTCTCCTTTTGTAGTAGGCTGTGATGCGGTACCTTCTACCACTAAATCAGACTTTGTTTCTTTGTGTTGATTTCTCTTAAGAGCTGGTGACTGACAGTGTGGAGCTGCAGGTGCAGTTTTCTTGGTAGTAGTGTTGGCTTTATTTTTGCCTGACATTTCTGATGATATGAAATGAAATATCAATTATCATCACGACTAAGATTTAATGCCTTTTGCATTATACTTCATGAAAACTTAATAAAACAGATTAGTTAGGCACGTATATTGTTACAAATCTACCGAATTGTTTCATATTTTTATGAAATATCGGAGGCTGCTAAGATGCAGATAAGCCTAGTGCATAGTAATGAGATTGAGTATAAGATGATATTATTGTGACAACTAGAAAAGACATGTTGGATCAGGCACAATCAATGGTATTTGAGTAGACCTGGATAATAAATAAGGCTTAAGGGCCAGATCAGAGTTATGATGTCATAATATATACAGGTGATAGACAAATGACAGTTGTCGTCTGTAACAGCAAGGCATATCTACGGTGAAATTTGTTTTCAAATTCACACAGATTAAGAAAGAGACTTCTGTTTATTGTAATTTGCATGAACAGCCTTTCTTGCAAAACAAAGTACATTGTAGTAGGCTAAGGATTCTCGAAATCTATAAAATTTCGCACGTACAGATTTTTTTCTTTTCATTTATCTAATCACGACAGTGTTACCAATTGTGGCAATTTTGAACATATCTCTGAATTTTACTATTTTTAATAAAACAAATATATTTATATCTTATCAGATCCGATAGACTAGCATAGACATAAACAGTAAAATATTTGGTATCACTATTGACCTTATGGATAAAGACAGACGTAAACAAATGAGACCAACATGAAAAAGTGGATCATATTAAAATACAAATATGTATAGAGTAAGAACTGATCATAAGAATCGAATGAAACTTGTGGCCTTAATAAAACACGGAGACAACATCACATATATGGAGTCAACCATCACCAATGGAGTTAGATCAGACTAGTTTGAGGTTGATTAAATATGTATGACACAAACAAGGCGATACCAATAGGGCCTAAACAGACTGATATGACCCGACTATAAATATAGTATCAGAATATGGAATAAGTAGAAAAAAAGAATCAGGACAACATATGATATCAAACCTCTTTGTCACGAAACAGTCTTGGACTAAAGTCGAATGTTTAAAAGAAGATAAAGTCCATATTTTTCTTTTGAGACTAAATTCAGGGAAACATTCCATTTATTTACATTTATGGAAAGTTTATTTGATATGGAACTAAAACATAAGGTGATATTTGGACTGAGTCTACAAATATTCATCTTCCTGGGACTTGATTAGATTAAAAATAAAAGAGAGGATCAGGCGGAAGTTCTTTTTTTTTTATATTTCTTATTGTACAACAACATAATCAAAAAGAGAGATTTTGATAAACCGTTAATTTAAACATATATGTAAGGGAGCATAGATTATTTCAACAATTTGAATTATTTACAGGTATAAACAGACACGCAGATGTGTATATAGGTACTGGGACATAAAGGGATTGAATGGATTTTTGTCCCAGTACATTGCGGCAAAGAATAGCAGTAGCTGATAGACCTATCAACGCACTCCTCAGAAGATATTATTATTTCTCGCAACTACTTTATCTCGGAGAAGGGAAGATAACTCTTCTCAATCATGGTCTAATGGCAGTTGTTTTCAGTTGGTAAATTCATGTACAGAACCAACATCAAGAATGTAAATATATGCCAATAACACACAGACTATTTTTTAGATAAAGCATACTGAGATTTCTTATATATATAACTACGTTGACTTCTCGTGTTCAATTACTGAAAAGTGGTCATTATTTTTAATAATACATGTATATTTATAACTGTCTCTTAAAACGCAGTTATTTGAACATATTTGAACAATCTAACTTTTCCAAGTAGCTTCAACGGACGTATGCCTTATTCGATGTATGAACGTGTAATAGAGGTATATGTCCTAATTGATACATCCTGTGATGTTTCCGCACACAACATGACGCATGAAGCACTATGTATTACCACGAATTTAGTAACACGCATGAAGCATTTCACATAACGGATTTTTCATAAAGTATATCGTACCGGTTTTCCATAGCTACATGTACCCGAACCACCACCTCCACGCTCACTAAAATGTAAGTCTCCAATGCAGAGATGTTATACTCACATGTGTATCAAATACAATTACAACAGGTGAATTGTTTGCATTAGATAAATGTAAATTCGGAGTATCTCCGCATTTCTTTTGTTATTTGTAAATACTGTTTAAAAACATAAAATATGCGCTTGACGATGCTTCGTTGTATTTCAGATACTAAGTTTGTGGTTTCCAATCCAGACCTTCTTTTCTTAAATGGTTCCACTGCTTCTGACAGTGTTTGATAAAGACTAAACTCGTTTTGATGTTAATTTTCAAATATCGATGGCGAGTATGGACCCATGCAATGATTACGCCATTAACAATAGCACAGATACATCGAGGTCCTGTTCGAAATTAAAATCAACTTCGATGTTCTAGTCGAACAATGCGGAGATATCACCAAATATAGATAGAAAACATAATTAACCTTATATTTTCCCCAGCATTAATGGAACACATTTTACACAGAGAAAGTGTGGCTAGGATCATCTATTTATGTGTGCATGTTTGTTTGCACGGTGGACCAAGTTTCTGTCAGAATTAAGCTTACTAATTTAATTTAAATGTGAATTTTTTAAATGAAATATATTTGTAAAAATATTATATTTCACAGCTGCCATCGTCTGTTTTGTTGTGTATCTCCATAGCACAAACATCGCCATATACTAGCACAGCTGTACATAGCTGTGATTATATATATATCGTTGACCTGTTGACCCAAAGTATATTATTTGTTTATCAAATGTCTCTATCATTACACAGAACTTTAAAAATGGACTTGACTATATGTTTAAGTGTCTTTCAAATTATTTTTTAAAGAAAATCATCAAGCGCATTAAAATTAAGGAATGTTCCTTCCATTAATACACGTATGCGTAACTTAATTATATGTAAGTGTCTACGTCATCAGTTTGTACACGTACGGAAAACGAAAGTACAATCAAAAATATTGTTTTTAATGATAAACTATGTTGCTTTTGATATTGAAATGGTATATAAAGGGTGTTAGTAATTAATGCAAAACAAACATTATCTTTACATATTGAGGAAAACCACTTAAAACTGTAATTTTGTTTGCACTTTCGTTTCAGGTTATTCTAATAGGGCGTAAGTATAGAGAAGTGTGTTAACAAGAAATTAGACTATGTGTTGTTCAAAATATTACAAAGATAAAGTTATGTAGTATATTACCTGCTGGTTTATGACAGGGACGCAGTACTCGGTAAATATTTCTTAAATCAGGAAAACTTCGGTGCTGTCAAACCCATGGACTGTTACCCGGAAGGTGTATTCAAACTTAACTTGAGTCTGGCGATCGATAATACCGCTCGGTGATTATGTAGGTCACACAGACGTTGTTAACACACGTAGGTAGTCAGCTTACACATGTGTGTACGAGACGGTAGATAGCATGCCACAAAAGCAGTAGGCGGAGTGATATTCATTTAAAAAATAACAAAACCATTACATGAAATGTCGTGAATGCTTGTTCAATAGCACATAAACGACATAAAATAGATATAAATATCCTCATTTTTTCTTATCGTTATATCATTCGGGTCCAAAGTTACGTTCAGAGTAGCGGCATATTATGGTGATTATATGGTGATAGTCCTCAGTTAGCTAAACATTTCACTGCTTTCTTTTTCGCTTTTCTGCCTTTAATAGAGTTGAACATGAGGCTTTTAACGTACGGGGAGTGTATCCCTACACGTGTCGGAGTATCAGACGGAAAGCAATCATTGGGTGGGATCAATGTCCAATAAAATAGTAATGATGAAACGATCATTCTGTTCACAAAATGTAACGTTTCATGATACAACGGTCAAACTTGCATGAGTCCATAATACACACTTGATTAATTATGTTCACCCATCAATTGTTCCACGCTTTCTTATGATGGTCTTGACATAGCGTTATAGGCATAGCCTCAACATATTGGAACCATAGGGATATTTTTATTTCTTCATTGTACATTTGAGTAACATTTGAAAAATACATGAATTACTTTTAAGCATGAAATATATCATATCTTAAAATAGTAATGAAACAATATGGACTTAATCTTTTGTGTGCACTGAAGATTGGAACGCTCGTCTCTGTTCAGCGACTGATCACACAAAGTCACAGGAGTATTTAATTAGTGCACAAAATCACGATGTGTACGTACAGTAATTATGGGTTAATCCATACAAATGTTACTATTAGTTAATAAACCCTGTAAATCATCAAAATAAAGCCGGGACAAATATTTTCTGTAACCTCAAATGATAATAAACAGGAGGTTAAGTGTTAAGGAGCAAACGGTTTTTTATTCGTACAATATGATCTTGCACTCCAATCAGAAAAACCGTTTGTAATAGCTATAGAAACAATTTGGTATCATATTAGCACTCTCTTTTTGTATACATTCTCATCAGTACACGTACACGTACGTACATGTACGTGCCCTAGATACGGGCACATGTTTTGCATGATATATTGTCTTTCTTATCTACATAGTTCAGGTTTTGTAAAATTATAACATAACAAAACTATGACCAGTAAGGGGATGCCCTTAAATACAGCCACAGAGATCTGCGAAAAACTTTGAAACTATGAAATGGCGTGTGTTTTTGGAGGAAACAGAGTTCATGTTCGCGGAAGGTGAACACATTTTACGTGCATATAGGAGTTATCCATATTTCCAACGGTACTAACCATTTTCCCATATTCAACTAGAAATGTTGTTTTTGATTATTAGGTGGGGTCGACATTTCGACATCGAGAGCTTTCCTCCCTTATAGAGTAGTATAATGTTCATCATTATATAGAGTAGTACAATATATATGTATATTTATAAACTACTTTTTATCAAGAAGAGTTTCACCAGATATCTGACTTGTGAAAACCATGGTAACAACATCGAAAATCGCCAAATAAAACCAAACATGATTTTAAACCAAACCTGATCCCCCAGAAAGAGTATTTTTTCTTAAAACACCTGTCTTAAATTGAATAACATCAACTTGGTAGAACAACGTTTTATCATAGGTCAATCCGATGGAATTTTTACGAAATTTACACATGTGCTGAGTACAAAAATAGACTTCATAAATAGCCAGCTTTTGTTGTGTATTGTAGTCTCAAACCAAGTGTAAGGTTTTTCTTGAAAAATTATGAAGCCCACACATAGTCAACTTTGATAATTTTGATGCCAATTTTAGTGTTTTTATTTTGTTTAAATTCGGATACATATCGTATCNTTTTTTTTTAAATTTTGATACATGTAATATTACAGGGGTTATTCATCGTACAAAAATATCACCCATGGCCACCGTACGCTACTGTTTCAGCAGTTCTTCAGCATAGAGCTTNGAGGGGTTATTCATTGTACAAAAATATCACCCATGGCCACCGTACGTTACTGGATAGCGCTACCATAGCTCTGTAACCTGTTTATAAAGAGCAACAATGTCTGCTATGGAAACTGTTCACCATGTCAACCACACGAGCATCTGTCGTTGATGTCTTCGTCTTGCGGCTGTTCGGAAGAAGCTCCTCTAGATTTGTATGTATCAGCTCGATGTTTGGTCTTCTTTTCAACTGAAAGCAACTCAACAGCGACTTGCGAGACCCCGATTTCGTAAATTATATTTCAAGGATGTTGACAAAAAATGTGTTACAAGAGTGGAGCTCTTGCATTTTGAAGATGTGTCTTCGTCAGAATGTTTAAGGCATTTGTAATTCGTTTATAATTTGTATAGGATTTCTATGTTATCCTGTTGAACTTTGCTTTATTTGTGTAAATGGCATTAATGCGTACAATGTATGTCACTTGGGGGTCGGTAATTACGTGTATAAAGTTGGTCATCACAACGGCATTTTAATCAGCGTTTTCCTCAACAACAGTGGTGCTATCTTGTTGTTACGTCATTTTGACGTCATTTGGTTTTGGTATACTTAATTACTGTGATCTCTGACTGCGTCAACTTTGACCACTTAGCGTTGACAGGGGTAGAGTTGACCGGTACCGATTATCGTCTATCATCTCCGTTATAAGGGTACCCTTATGTGTAGCAGTGATCAATGCCATTTTTTCTCTTTTCTTTATCAGGTTTCTGTGTGTTTTGGTCTTCAGTTTATGTTCGAAAATGTATCTAGCAGGCAGACTAGTTTTCAGGACGTTATCGAGTTTTCTACTTATTTTAGAGTACGTTATCTAACAGGCGGGTTAGTGTTTACAACGTCATCGAGATTAAGGTAGATGTTAGATGTCGTTATATACCCGGCTATGATAGGAAATTAAGCGTTATAGTCTTATCGCCGGGTCGATATTCTGGAACATTCATGTTTACGTTATTTCTTTATTTTTAACGAAATTTTCTCTTTTAACAAAAACAGTTATACATTTCAGAGTTATTTGCTGCTGCTTTGATTTGATGTTCTTTTACTTTCTTGTTTTTTAATTCGTAAGCGCTGTCTTTGTGTTGTTTTGATGCTTGTTATTGTACACTTTACACAAAAAAAAAATCTTACACAAAATAACAAAAAATAAAATTGAGCACGAATTTTCTATTATTTAATACAAAGTTTTATTTATTTTCAATACAAATGGATAAATTGTATACGGTCTGTTAGGTTAATATGGATTTGGCTTAAAATGACGTGTATGGTTTGACCATTTAAAATCCATGAAAACTGACATTATTTCAGTCGTTATAGTCAGTACTCTTCAGTTAACATAAAAGTGATTTTTTATCTACAATGATACATTCGCGTTTTGTCACCAGGTACAGAAGGGAACAAACTTAACTAGGTAATTTAGTACACCAGAGTTAGGAAAAGTGAACTCCAGTGAATAAGCATGTACAATGGAGTACACAAGCTTGTACAATGGAGTAAACAAGCATGTTCAATGGAGTACACAAACATGTACAATGGAGTACACAAGCATGTACAATGGAGAACACAAGCTTGTACAATGGAGTACACAAGCATGTACAATGGAGTAAACAAGCATGTTCAATGGAGTACACAAACATGTACAATGGAGTACACAAGCATGTACAATGGAGTACACAATCATGTACAATCGAGTAAACACGCATGTACAATGGAGTTCACAAACATGTTCAATGGAGTACACAAAAATGTACAATGGAGTACACAAGCATGTACATTGGAGTGCACAATCATGTACAATCGAGTAAACAAGCATGTACAATGGAGTACACAAGCATGTACATTGGAGTGCACAAGCATGTACATTGGAGTACACGAGAATGTACATTGGAGTACACAAGCATGTACAATGGAGTACACGAGCATGTACAATGAAGTACACAAACATGTACATTGGAGTGCACAAGCATGTACAATGGAGTACACGAGAATGTACATTGGAGTACACAAGTATGTACAATGGAGTACACAAGCATGTACATTGGAGTGCACAAGCATGTACAATGAAGTACACGAGAATGTACATTGGAGTACACAAACATGTACAATGTAGTACACAAGCATGTACAATGGAGTACACGAGAATATACATTGGAGTACACAAGCATGTACAATGAAGTACACAAGCATGTACATTGGAGTGCACAAGCATGTACATTGGAGTACACAAGCATTTACATGGGAGTACACAAGCATGTACATTGTAGTACACAATCATGTACATTGGAGTACACAAGCATGTACAATGGAGTACACAATCATGTACATTGGAGTGCACAAGCATGTACATTGGAGTACACGAGAATGTACATTGGAGTACACAAGCATGTACAATGGAGTACACAAGCATGTACAATGGAGTACACAAGCATGTACAATGAAGTTCACAAGCATGTACATTGGAGTACACGAGCATGTACAATGAAGTACACAAGCATGTACAATGGAGTACACAAGCATGTACAATGAAGTACACGAGAATGTACATTGGAGTACACAAACATGTACAGTGGAGTACACAAGCATGAACATTTGAGTACACAAGCATGTACAATGGAGCACACAAGCATGTACACTGGAGTACACAAGCATATACACTCGAGTACACAAGCATGTACAATGGAGTACACAAACATGTACAATGGAGTACACAAGCATGAACATTTGAGTACACAAGCATGTACAATGGAGAACACAAACATTAACATTTGAGTACACAAGCATGTACAATGGAGTACACAAGTATGTTCAATGGAGTACACAATCATGTACAATGAAGTACACAAGCATATACATTGGAGTACACAAGTATGTACAATGAAGTACACAAACATGTACATTTGAGTTCACACGCTTGTGCATAAAGGTTAACTACAATGGACGCTATTCTCTTTATCATAAAAATTATCTGGTTTTCATTATTTAGTACATATATATACAAAATATTTTGCATGGTACATTTTCATACTCAAAATGATCGAAGCACTATCCCTAAAACACGGATTTATATAATGTACTTATATGATTCCATGCTGATATTTAAACATTTTTTTCAAGTACAGAGCGTTACACTCTTTAATTATTAGCACATGTATATACAGGCATTGGTTGTTTAAACTATTTATAACAGTCTGATATCAATTTTTTTCTAATGTCACTCGACCTGGGACGCTTCGCATATTGATGGAGAGCGTATATACAAATGTTACTGGTAGGGTGGTATTTGAAACAATATGTATGTATACGAGATAAGAAATTTACAATTTCGTCACGTCGCAAAACTACGATGGCCGAGAGCGGCCGGACACTTTTCATTACCTTTATGTGCGAAAGTGTACCATGGTACACTTTTGCATGGTACACTTTTGATCTCTTTTATATTCAAAAGTGTTCCATGGTTCACTTTTGCATGGTACACTTTTTTGCATGGTACACTTTTTATCACTTTTATAAACAAAAGTGTACCATGGAACACTTTTGTGAGGTAGACATTTAGGTGTGTATTTGTCCCTCATTTACAGCCGAAAGCGGCCACTGATTACACATTTTATAACACAATATCTACAAAAGGTTTTCATTGGAGCCGATGTTAATTAACTACTCCTGACTTGTCGAATGACGGTGGGGAAACAGGTCTGTTGTTTTTATCAACATAGCCGCGGATTTACCACCAAGTACTTAATAGGTTATACTTACATTATTGTACAGTATGCTCAAGCCACTATCGTTGATACCTGGCCAAAAGCACGGAATTTAGAAACACAATGTTAAGATGATTAAACAGGAAAGTGGTACCGTACAACCACCAGTCGTATGCATATGTGATGTACTATATATTTATATCAAATTACAATGATAATAATACTGGGGAAATTATCCCACTGTAAACATTGTTTCTTTTATAATATAGAGCTGAAAAAAATAATGTTGTTCACGTAACAAACTGTAGATTACAATGATGTTTTATATAAATTGATTTTGTTTCCCCTTTGGGTACCCACGTTCAACGATTATAAAGGCCATCTGTTTTCTAACATTCTTCTACACAAAATGTCATTTATCAACCGTTGGCCGCTTTCGGTCATCTAAAAGTGAACCATGGTACACATTTGACTGTAAAACTGAATAAAAGTGTACCACACAAAGTGTACCCTTTTGTACATAAAAGTAATGAAAAGTGTCCGGCCGCTATCGGTCGCTAGTGCTAAAAAGGTACATATTTGATCATTTTTATATTCAAAAGTGCACCTTAAAAAATTGTACCATGGTACAGTTTTGAACATAAAAGTGATAAAAAGTGTACCGAGCCAAAATGTACCATGGTATACTTTTAAACATAAAAGTGATCAAAAATGTACTTTTCAAAAGTGTACCATGGTACACTTTTGAACATAAATGTAATGAAAAGTGTCCGGCCGCTCTCGGCCATCGTACAAAACAGGTCAACAATACAAATCTCTCACTCAGTCATAGCTTGACAAAGGGTCCAGTCGGTCTTGAAACGCTGCGGCACGTTTAAAACGTACATTGTTTGTGTATAAAGTAAACATTTAATATAACATATTTCCAAACTGATAAATATTATTGAAGTTATAACTTTCTGTCTAATAGACATATTCATTAAAGTTAATTTATGGATAAACAGTATTTTGTTATACATGTTATTTATTACAGAAAAAATAAAATACCCACACATAAATTTCTAAAATTTATTTTATTATAGCATATTTTGTTGCCTCGGCTGTAGTTGATCTATTTCATGTTTAATAATATTTGAAATTGTAAGTGTCGCTATGGGCAGACACCATCAATGGTTTGCTATCCTAACACACAAGTCAAACACCACATGTGGAGCCACACCACTCCATACAAACATCAATTGTTCAAAGTCACAATACATGTTCTGTCAACATATACAAGTCAGTGTTCTACTTTCACTAATTCCGAATATTGTGAAATATAGTGGATGCGTACTAAACCCAAGAAACGACGATGAAGTGCATCTTAAGGTAAACTGATTGGTTATGCCGCGTGAGGCCAACTGATCACAACGTGAAAACTTGTTTTATGTTGGGAGCACGCATATATATAATATGGTTAAATTTTATTTTACCAGGTAGTCTATGCTGATAAGAAATCTTTTTATGTATTTAATTATATCAAAACATACTTGAAAGCGAATACCAATTCTTTTTCAGTTTGAAGAAAATGGAATGCTTATGCATGTAGATACCCATCACGAGTTACAAAAAACTGTATGTACTAAATCTATGTAGATTCTCATTCAAGATAGGTACCTTTAGCAAGAATTAACAATTAATAAGAACGAAGATTTACTGTATCGATCATTTATATGTAGGCATCCATGCTGACTCGTCTCTTTCTACAAGACAATTTAACCTGTCTGAAGCCTGGCATTGGAGAATCTATCGCTGGCACACCCCGAGGAGGTGTGTACTGCAGAGGGTATAAGGGATACAAGATACAAGATACTTTATTTTACGTGGCATACAGGTAAACAAGGAACATTAGCTCTTGAGAGCTACTATTGCGACAAACATATGTAAAATAACAATAACATATTATATTACAAGTAAAGAGAGATAGTCACAACTATTAATAAAAAAAAAACCTGTAATAATCATCACAGAAAAAGAAAGTATACATATCCCAGGTTTCTAAGTGATTGGGAGTAGAACAGGAAGATGGGTGGGAATTCAAAGACAGGACAGAATATGCCCACTTTGTAATACTGGTATTGGGGACGAGTTTCATTACTTATATACTTGTAATAACGACACTTTAGTCAAAATACGGGAAAAACATATTCCGACCTATTTTTATACAAGTCCAAACCAACATAAAATGAAAGGAATGTTCACAATCTTTAATATGAAATTGTTAAAAGGTGTAAGCTTATTTGTTCAAAAATGAACAAAAGTACTTTAGTGTCTCTATTCTATAAGTTTTTCTTTTGTTTGCTAGTGACATTTTATATAAGTTGAACACTGAATTATTTGTATGTAACTACACGTATATATATTATTATGTACTATGCTATGATATAGAATGTTTGCCTGTCATGCACTCAAACTGTGTTATATATATATGACCTCTTGTTACACATATTATGTGTGTCTGAGTGAAATAAAAATCTTGAAATCTTGAAATCTTGGGAGTCCCCTACCTACAAAGGCCCCCGGATTAAAACACTATGAATTAAAAATGATACCGAAATCAATTAACAAAATTTATCAAGTTTTGTAAAATTTATTATTTTAGAATATATGGAATTCAAATACAAATAAGATGCAGCAAAAATATAGAACAGAATTAAAACATGTAAGAAATGAAATAAGACAATAAAAGTATCACACAATCCAAAATGTCAGGTGGCAGAGGTAACCAGGACACAGTATAACGTATCACTAGTACTCTTTGCAGATATTGCAAAGGCAGATGGGGCCATCCCAGGAATGGACCAGCCTCTTGAATTCTTTGAAGTTTTCAACTTTTCTGAAGTCATTTGGGAGACTGTTCCACACCCGGGCGACCTCAAAGGCAAACGATTTATGTCCATACTTCACAGTGTTGACCCTGGGCACCTCTGCAGTATTTTCTTTCCTGAAGTCATAATGAGACATCTTAATATTTACAAGATTATGAATATATTCAGGAGAAATTGTGTTTATAATTTTAAAAACCTCACAACCCATATCCTTCAGACGCCTTACATGAAGCCTGTCGCTGTTGGTAATACTGAGTAAGTGTCTGAAGGATGAGTTGTGATCATTATGTATAAACCTTAAAGCTCTTTCTTGTATCTTTTCTAGCTTTTTGACACTCTTCATGGAACAAGAGTGCCAGACTAAAGGATAGTAGTTAACATTTGAAACAATAAAAGAATTATAAATTACAAGTCTACCTTGTTTGGTTAAAAAACTCCCAATTCGTTTTAAAATGGACAATTATTGCCTTGAGGCTTTCCTACAAATTTCAGAGATATGAGCTTCAAAGTTAAAAAGTGAATCAAAGTTCACACCGAAAAGTTTGACAACACTGTCAGAAACAATATCTATTTCGCCAATACTAAAAGATTGTATAGCATATACCGAACGGTAGTATCAGATAACATAGGCACTAATACCACAGTCATATACCAAAGTTTTGTTTCTCAGTTTGAACATATCANGCGGGGGGGGGGGGGGGGGGGGGGGGGGAGGCAAACAAAAACAAATGTTACATTAAATAGACACTTTATCATATACATTGTATTATTGTACCTCACAAAGTGATCGAATAACATCATTCAATACTTTTAAATGTGATCTAAGAAAAAAAGGAGGAATTATTGATTAATTAAATTAACTTAAAAGTAAAAGGGGGGATATTCATTAGAAGGAACTAAAAGCTATTCCTCATGTTCATGAAATTGGGGAGAATTGTATCCTGCAGGGGAGCTGTGTCTGCCCCACCCTTTTCAATATAACGATGAGGAAATAAATGTGTCGCAATATGCTGATAAGAGTGCACGTGTTACATGTAGCTGGCAGTTCAGTCGTTTTATAAAACATCTAAGTAAAAAACTGTTATCCAAGCTTGTAGAAATCTAACACTGGTGTCAAATCGGTTGCTTTAGTATATATATATAAATATATAACAAAAAATTAGTTAAATTTAAGCAATGTAATATAGACGGATGACACAATGAGAAACGGTTGTCATATTAAAGAAATAAAAAGGATTTTTTTCTTTTAGAAAACACGAAAAATTCGCCTGCGTTTAATATGTGCTAAAACAGTTCAGGTTCATCATACAATGTACATGTATGGAACTATACAACTGTAAAAGATCTATATAGCTATATCCATCTGTTATTTACAGCTGTATTCAGCTTCTGTGTTCTTATTAACCAGAAATAATGTATTGTTTGTCTTGTTTACATATACTCATCTGTAATTGTAAAATCGTGAGAAAAAATATGTATATTGATGATATGTAATACTAGGTTAGATATGGTTTCCTTACTTATTTAATTTTCATATCACGAAAGAACCCATTCATTATAGATAAATAAATGAAATCTGTATTTCAGTCTTTTAAACTAGGGTAAACACTGCAGCGTACTGGAGTTTACATATTAGTGCACTGGAGTTGACACTGAAGTAAACTACAATGTTCGCTACGAGTACACTACAAAGTGCACACGATTACAGTTAAGTTTACTCCCAACTGAACTTCGAGAGATTTCCTTCAGATATTAATTATTTGTAACTTCACAGATTGGTCTATTTTTGAAATCAAAGCTACCCTATTTTGCTTTCCTTTTTTGGCGCTTGCTCTGGTGGAGGAGGGGTCATTCCCATGCTATAACCCTTGCTGACAATATAAATGTTTGACATCTGTTGTGAATGTCTGGGACAACTGTTTTATTATTTCGATTTCAATAAGTTTCAATAATTACGTTCGACTTGTTATATCACTCATCTGTCATATTTCAACTCCACTAGTACATTAGCGTGGTAGTCATCAGGTACCTCAGAGGATTTCCTTAATAATTCATTCGTTAATAACTTCACAGATAGGTCTATTTGTGAAATCAAAGCAACTTTTTTTTCTGCGATTGTTCTGGTGGAGGAGGGGTCATTCCCATGATATAGCCCTTGCTGACAATACCACCATGAGCGCTCAAAAACACGGCCGGCCACACACATTGCCTCACTATTTTTCCCTTTGACTGGAAGAACTTGAAGTAATTCTTTCACCATGGTCAGCCCATTTGATCTCCATGGGAGGGTCCTGTACAGCCATTAGCCACATCAGCTCCACACAGCGATCAATGTATTTCATCATAGCGTCCGGCAGTGTCGCTGGTGGGTCCAACTTCATTTTTTGGATGTATTGGTCTTTGAAAAGCTGAAACAATACAATATTGTGTCCCCATCAGCCTTTTTGTATAATATATTAACAGAAATAATTTGCTGATTCTGAACTTTCAAAGAAATTGTAAAATGTAAAGTGGTATTTAGTAACTCGTAACCTAGCGTTTAAAGGAATACTACTATTCCTGACATTCATCAGATAGAGATTCCAACTACGTTACAACTGTGTTGCCTATGGGCAGCTTTTCCCTGTTAACTCTAAGTTACTTCCTCTGATATAATTCAAAGGCAAGTGTAGGTTGCTGAGCTTTTTAAAGAAATGAGAACAGTTTGAAGTGTTCCCATTAATATTGCAGAAAAGTATTAACACAACAAATATAACGAAAGTGCTACAATTGATAAGCTCCCCGTTGTATAATGAATGGTCGCTGGGATCGAATTTCCGTGGATGCTCAGATATTTTATACATAAGTTAGACAATCGTGAATCGTAGTTCAATGCACAAGAAATACTTCAGCTATACGTGAATATACTTGTTTGATCTCTGTAACGGCGGTCAAGGCTGTTTCTTTCCGGAAGCTGCGTGCACACCTCAATGCTATTTGCCAAGTCTCTGACATAGGAGACTTCGCCCTAGCTTCTACCGTTTCTCCCTTCTGCAATAAAACTTCATTATCAGAGCCCGTCTGAATGAGATACATGAATAAAGCGCATTAAAACATGTTATACATTGACAATTTCACAAATTATATCATTTCATACGGTTTACACATAATTTCTTTGGAGCGGATAAATATTTTACATATAATCGTACCTTTTTTCCAACAGGCGGTGTAGCAGGCTTTGCTGTATTTGGTGATCCTGCTAATGCAGAACTTTTTTCCCCAGATAGACCAGCGGATGCTCCAGATTTGTTTGCTGTTTGTTGTAGAGAAACTGCATCTTTCATACCCATGGCAATTTTTTGTAGCTGTTTGTCAGCCTCTGTTCCACAAAACCGATACGACTCCTAAAACAAACAAAGCTTTATTCGGTATTAGAGGAAAAGATGTCGTACTTATCTAAATAAAATCATTCTGGTTTATAATTGATAATATGGTGTTTATTCATACTTTTAAGAGTTATACTAAGATGAAATCACACCTACCTTGACAACATCCAACAACTTATCAATTTGTTTCATCTCTTCTTCCTCGTCCTCCTCCTCGCTTGCAGCTTTTTTTTTTACCCATACCCATCTCCTCGAGGGCCTCTGACCATTGGTCATCGTACATTTCGACAAAGTATTGCCCGAGCTTAGTCGGTCGGTTCTTGTCACACAAGTCAGCAATGTCAGGGTTACCCTCCTTTAATTTGTTACTAGCAATGACATGTAAAGTAACACGGTCGGTATTTAAATGGTTTAGAAATGAAAATGAATGTTGTCACAAAATACTTTAAAGTTATTACTAATTTTGGAATTGAATATTTACAGTTGTTACTCGATACATTATTATCCTGTGATGGATGCCTGTGCTTTACGAAGGACGTGCTTGAAATCACTCTACAAGTAAACATGAATATGTACAATCCAAGTTTCAATTCGCTTGATCTGCGAACTTAATTCCCGAATCACATTATTAAGAAAATCAAAACTCTCTGTACTAATGATCAAGATTTAAGTCATCAAAGTATAGTAATACTTACCTGCTTGTAAGCTCTTCAATGCTCTCTCTCTGGTTCACAAGATCGTACTGCATGTGTTCGTAATCTTCGGATTTAACTAGCTGGTATCCGTCAGGTATTATCACTCTGAATCTATCTGGATCTCTCCGATGTTCTCCTCTTTTGGCCTGGTCCAATTCAGTTGGTGATGGCTCACTCTCATCTTGTTTTGCTTGCTTTCCTTTTTTGTTCCCGTTATGCAGCTGTTTCCCGAGCTTGGTCGGCCGGTTCTTGTCACTCAGGTCAACAATGTTAGGGTTACCCTCCTATAGCCTGTTATTAGCGATGGCATATAACCTAAACAAATGGACGAGACAAATATTTCAAGAATGAATAATATGCTGCCTTTGTTTTTGTTTTGAGATATTAACAGCGATATCACAAACAACTTTCAAAATATTCATTTGTTTTGGAATTGAAAATTAACAGTTCTTGCTCATTACATTAATATCATGTACTGAAATGAATATGCTTTACAAATCATGTGCTTGGATCACTTTCTACTAAACATGATTATCTCAAAATCGAACTTTCAATTCACTTGACCACTAACCTAACTTTATTGAATCACATTATCATGAAAATGAAAATTCTTTATTTATACAGTGTATTTCTATTTACATATTCAAGTCATCAAAGTAATACAGTGTACTTACCTGCTTGTAAGCTCTTCAATGCTCTCTCTCTGGTTCACAAGATCGTACTGCATGTGTTCGTAATCTTCGGATTTGACTAGTTGGTATCCGTCAGGTATTATCACTCTGAATCTATCTGGATCTCTCCGATGTTCTCCTCTTTTGGCCTGGTCCAATTCAGTTGGTGATGGCTCACTCTCATCTTTTTTTGCCTCCGTTGCTTTTTCGTTCCCGTTGTGCAGCTGCTTTTGAGGATTGTCTTGTTTTGCTACATCAACAGGTGTCACGTGTCCTCCTGGGCGTGGCTCCGGTAACACAGAACCCTATTATTTAAGTATAAGTAAGTTTATCACATAATGCACTGTGTTATCCAGTGAATATACCCATGCCATATTTTTTGCGTATTAACCCATGTAATATAACCTATTAGCCCTGTAATTGGTTGTAAGTTTCAATTGTCTCAATTGTGACGTCACGCCTAGGACAAGTACATGACGTCACAGACATACGGTCAATCAACTGTAAGTCAACAACAAATAAAGTATATTAATTAGGGCGCCGCATCGAAGATGCGAATGCCCTATAGTAATCAGGTTGTCCGTCAGTCCGTCCGTCCGTCCGTATGTCTGTTGTCTTTTTTTTCTTTTGCACAATATTGATTGAAGTGAATTGAGTGTGTTTTTAAAATTTTACAGGATGATTTCCCATGCATCTTAATTCTGCTTGGTAATTTTTCGGGCAGATCAGATTCAAAATGGCTGCTTATCAGCCACCTTGGATTTTAACTTTAAAAAATTCATATTTGTTTGCTCTTAACTGGTAAACATTTTGTTATGACATTATGGAGCAAAGTTGGTCACAATACAACAAGAAGTCAACTGATCGAAGGTCAAGATCATCGGGTCAAAGGTAAAGGTCAAATTTAGTATCTTTTCACTGGAGAACATTTCGTAATGACACTTTGAAGTAAAGTTGGGCAGAATTACACAGTCGATTGACCAAAGGTCAAGGTAACTGGGTCAAAGATCAAGGTCAAATTTTGTATATTTTCCTTGATGAAAATTTTGTTATGGCATTATGAACCAAAATTGGTCGGAATTTAAGAAAGAGTCAAATGACTTAAGGTCAAGGTCACTGGATCAAAGGTCAATGTCAAATTTAGTATCTTTTCACTGGTGAACATTTCGTTATGACACTTTGAAGCAATGTTGGTTTGAATTAAACAAGGAGTCATTTGACTAAAGGTCAAGGTCACTTGGTCAAAGGTTAAGGTCACATTTTGTATATTTTCACTGATGAACGTTTTGTTATGACATTATGAAGCAAAATTGATCGGAATTGAATAAGGAGTCAACTGACTTCAGGTCAAGATCACTGGGTCAATGTCAAGTTAACTTTTTGTATATTTTTTACTGATGAACATTTTGTTATGTTATTATGAAGCAAAGTTGTTCAGAACTTAACACGGAGTCAACTGACCTAAGCTCCAGGTACCTAAAGATCCTCAATTCTCTTCTGAATGTGTATTCTTTTAATGCATCTGTGTAATTCTCGGGATGTTTTTGTTTTAATTCAAATAGGGAATTTTACAACGGCCCTGAAGAGACATCATGTCCGATCTTGCTACATGAGTTGATGTATTCATCTAGCAACCTTTGATATTTTACCTCTCTATTGTCTTCTCCTGAATTACAGGGATCAAATAACATGATTTTGTGATATGCAACGGAACTTATAAAAACTAAAAGACAATCTTAAAAGGCTTATAATAAAATTTCGTTGTTAATAACCATTTTGTTCTTTGTGTTTTTGCGTTTTTATACACGATGCTCCGTTTATAACGATTAAAGTCATTTGTATTTTTTTAGGAGGATTTGTTTTTGGATCTTACACGGCATTGTCGTCAATATAAAGGTCTGTTTATGCTTTTATATATTATGAAATTAGTAATCACAATTTCCTTTATATCCTTTTCATCTGTATCATACCTCGGATGACATTTTCTCTTCCAAATGCCTCTGTTGATTCAGTAATGCCTGATACTCTTTCATAGCATCTTCTCGATTGTTTAGCAAGCCGAGAGCATCCAGGATATCAGTTATAATTTTACCCAGGCCCAACTCTTTTGGCTGAAGCTGGCTGTCACTTGTCCCCTTACTTTCAAGATTGTGAGGTTTCTGTCTCTTGTCTGACATTTCTGAAGATATGAAATTAAAGAAACATTGAGGAAATAATCATAATTAAATAAATCATCGTCACAACTATGGTTTCGTCTTTTGCCTTATATTTCATATACATTCAATTCCGGATTGTTTTATACATGTATATGTATCCAATCTCGTAGGCTGTCAGGATGGAGATGAATATAGAAATAGGAATAAATTAGAAAGTTGAACATGATGTACTGATGAAACTACCAGAACAGACATGGTAATCAGAATAATATCAATGGTAATAGAGTAGGCTTAGTAAATAAATCAGGCTAAAGGCCGAAAATGATTTACGATGCCATAGTACATCCAGATGCTAGACGAATGCCAGGTACCGACTGTCAAATCATAACATGTGTACGGGGATTTTTCATTCTTCACTTTTCATACAGATTAAGAAAAAACTACAGCCATTCTTTTATAAAAGTTTTAGGCTAAGGTTTCTTAAACCCCATAGAATAAATTGTAAAACAACAAACTCATAGAGAGAGAGAGATTTATTTTAAAAAACCGTCAATGCATACGTATATGCAAGGGGCTTTTTTTAACAAGTTTGATTATTTCATGAAATTTAAAAACAAATCGGAAGACAATTACAGGAATTAAAAAATGCATGCAAATGTAAATACCTTGTATAGACACCACCTCCACGCTCATTGTAAGTTTAGTCTCCGATGCACAGGATTTGTGTAATCACAGGTACACAACAGGTCAAGAGTTAACATTAGATAAACGCGAATTCGGAAATCTCCATATCTCGTCATTTTGAAAATTTTGTTTACAAACATTGTTTCTGCGTTTTACGCGTCTATATTGTATTTTATAATTTTGAGATAATATGTTTTGTGCTTTCTTTTTCGACAATTTTCCAATTCAGACCTTCTTTTCTGAAATGGTTCCACTGCTTTTGACAGTGTTTCATAAAAACTGCAATCGTTTTGATGTTAATTTTCGAATATCGATTGTGATTTTGGACCCATACAATCATCACGTCATTTACAGTAGCACAGATAAGCAGACCCACCTGTATGTAGTGTATATTTGACACACCTGTATGTGGTGTATATTTGACACACTTGTCTTTGGTGTACATGTGACACACCTGTCTGTGGTGTATATGTGACCCACCTGTGTGTAGTGTATATTTGACACACCTGTCTGTGGTGTATATGTGACACACCTTTCTGTGGTGTATATGTGACACACCTGTCTGTGGGGTATATGTGACACACCTGTCTGTGGTGTATATGTGACCCACCTGTGTGTAGTGTATATTTGACACACCTGTATGTGGTGTATATTTGACACACCTGTCTGTGGTGTATATTTGACACACCTGTATGTGGTGTATATTTGACCCACCTGTATGTGGTGTATATTTGAAACACCTGTCTGTGGTGTATATTTGACACNGTGTATATGTGACACACCTGTCTGTGGTGTATATTTGACACACCTGTCTGTGGTGTATATGTGACCCACTTGTCTGTGGTGTACATGTGAT